TGATTATTTTTAATATTATTTTTGTTTATTCAATCCTGTTTCTTGGGCCGTGAGATTTAAGTATAAACACACAAATATAAAGTCGTTTTGCCGAATACAAAGTCGTGAAAGCTGTCGTTATTTGTAATTCAATACCTAACAACTTTCTAAAACATCGGGCATCTTCAAAATGAGTTCGAACATTAATAAATCCGATGTTTAACACCGCAAAGCGAAATATTTAGTCAATAAAATCCACATTAGCATGTGGAAACAATGTTGTTTAATAACATAACACAAGCTGGTTCTTCTAGAAATATTTTAATTTTGTTCTCTAAGTATGTACACAGTATAATTACAGTACCGGTTCGATACTTAATAACTGGTAATATCTGGATATTTTTCGTTATTTACCAACTTGTGTTAATGATGATTGACCTGTAGGTCCTTATTTGACAAGCTGTTAGTTGCAAATTGTAAATTACATTGATGAAAAGGAAAGCATAAAATAATGTCCACGAGCAGTGTGTACTGAAGTAGGTTATTTTATTATTAAATTGTCTTTAATAATCTAGTTACTCGAACGAGATGAATTAAGGGCAGAACAGATGGCGCCACTGAGCGTTAATAATTGTCAAAATCGTATATTTTTAAAACCAAAGGGTTGTTTATGTTAAACCAACCTTTGAAGTAATCACGAAGTAGATACGTGTATAGAATACTTCAAATGTGTTTTTGTTTTAAACCCACATTTAGGGTATTATTACATTACTTAGATTTTGTTCATGCATGCATGCATACAAAACAATTTACAATTACACCTCTCCTTTACAAACAACTATATTACAAAAATAAAAAAAGTCCATTCAAGAAGTCAATGCTCCATCTCACTCTCACTCAACATCAACGTTACAGAAATCAGTTCAGTGTTATACAGATAACGTAACGAAACTACGTAAGAATTCAGTACTCGAGTGTACGGCTGTAATTTGACCTGGATAAATGTAGGTCAATAGCGGGGTCAAGGCGCCTGCCATTGTTAGCTCGGCAATCAGCTGTAATTATACGTAATTGTGTTTAGTGTTACCGCCACTGATCAGGTCATACTAATCCACTGATAAGCTGTCAATGTATCATGGTGAAAACCTCTTCCTGTATGGGATAGCTTACAAAATTGCAATTACTGTTAGTACTGCGTATTATAACTAGATGGCGTTATTGTACAATTAGGTCTACTTGTACTTCTTGTTCAATAGAAAATGTGTTAGTGTCAATTGTCAAACCATTGGTTCGTTAATTTTTGATAGCTACCTACAGTGATTGGACTAATACATCTCAAGCTACACCTTTTATTTGGTCAATATAAAAATGGTTACCGTCGTTATGCCACGTAACCTATTTACTTATTTCTTTTTTCATAACGAACGGTACAACAATGTCTGTTTATGCTTACGATTTGTCGCGAAGAACCTAACGGGTTACCGGGGCTCCGGCTCGACATGCAGGAGAAGGAACGGGGTGGTTTTTAGTCAGTAAGAGTCTGACACTCCCTCCCGCCTTACCCAGGCGGGAGCAGTCATTCGATGATTTTCCCCCCCTTAAAAAAACCCATGGGAACGCGGGCAAAGTCGTGGGCAGAAGCTAGTAATACATAAAACTTAGATAAACACTTCTGCCAATCCCTTTGAACACTAAATTAAGTCATGACCTCATATTACATTATGGTCCTTCATACACCTATAGTAACTTGAATGAATAACTCTACACATACAATATGTACATATAAAGCAGTATGCCTACTCCTACAGTGAGATATAGGTACACAGGGCCACTCAACAGGTAACGGCTAGTCAGTCTGGTTTCCATAGAGGCTGACCGGCCTTTATTTCCTGATTCTTAGGTTAGGTAGGACTTTTGATCTGGGGATTTTGGGATCTACTGTAGGTACTTATATAGGTACTTGTACCTAAAATATAAATTGAGTCCCAATTACTACACTTTATTTGTCAAAGTTTTGACTGAAAGTCCATTGGTATTTTGGTATCGAGAAGGAAAGATTTCATTATGATAGATTGGCATATTGGTGTTACTCTTAATGTATTATTTTTGTATTATATAATCTAAAAAAATACATAATACATAACATCACGCCTTTTATCCCCGAAAGGGTAGACAAAGGTGCACATTATGCCACTGAACAATGTAACACCCACTTTTCACTATTTATGTTATGAGTCCCGTGTAATAGGGGTGAGCCTATTGCCATATATCGGGCACAATTCCAGACTACGTGCTACTACTGAAAATTTTTCAAAAACGCAGTAATACTTTGCCCAACCCTGGAATCGAAACTGACGAACCGTGCCCGTTTTAAAAAAATACTATAATCCTAATTGAATAGATTTTTCGTATAAAGTTGGAATGGACCACTCGTAGGTTCCCTAATAAGATCACAAAGCAGGGGATCCTGCTCTAATAACGAACGTGACTGTACGCGTGTCCAGCGCATCAGCGCCCTCTACCACGTACGAAATTTAAATGTAATTTGCAAATACCCGACATAACGGTCGATGAGAATTTTTACATAACCTCAAAAAAGAGGACCTACCTATTGCATCGCATGAATTTTACATTTTACCTCTAATTTCGATACGCACGCAGTTTTAAATTTGATAAAAAATGTATCTAAATAAAACAATAGTTTGATTGAAGCAATGATTTGTTTTTTTTAACTGTTTTTTATAATACATCTGTCTACCATAATTTTCCCTAACTAAATACTGTCTAATAATTTGTTTTTATGTAATCCTAATTTCGTCGTCGGGGCGTTTTTGGATACCTTGCATCGTAATTCAAAGGGAAAAGGCGATCCCATAATTTTGGAAATTAAAAAAATTTAAGGCATCTTTGCTGAAAAAAGCAAAGATGTGGTAGGTAAGCCATTACTCTACTACTGTCAGATATAATCCTGAATGATGACACGACGCGGAATAAGCTTGTAAGCAATAAATTGCCGCGCAATAAAAACGAAGCAAACGCAGCTGTGCTAACATTTTTTTAAGAACAATTTTCGTTCAACAAAAACTATTCAGTCCTTTAGAGAACTAAGTACTTCCATCTACAACTTTAAGGTTTAATTCACTTTTGCAATCAAACGAAAATAAACCTTAACGCATCGAAATAATTCTGCGGTTAACCATTGTTCGAACACAAAACGCTTTCAAATACTTTTTTCTATATCGATGAAAAAAATCGCCATTTTGTCGAAGCGATCGATTTCGCATTGCTATTGGTCCGTTGCAATTTATCGCACCGAATACTTGGGTAATTGATTGTGTTTGAAATAAAAAAAAATACTCAATTCGTTCCCGATGCTGATAATCAATAATTGGCTTCGTACGATCAGACGCACGTCAAAAGAAACACCTGAACTATGAAAATAGACTTTATTGCAACGATTTACAGACTGTCACTCCAATTGTTATTTCCACGCGCGATTGACTCTAGGTACGTACGTTCTACTGAAACCGGTCGTTTTCAATTACATTTTTAGATATAAATAAATTGAGTCTAAATTATTGCTGTGTTCCCATTGGGCATGCGTATTGTTGCGAAATGTGACGTAAAATCGGTTGAATGAAATATTTTTAAAATTGAATAGCAGTTACATCAGTTGTTTTGCAAGAAACTTGCAGAGAAAAAGAAGAAAGAGTAGGCACTCAACCATTGAATTTGGTAAACGTAAAAGTAGCCTACTTTAGTTGAAAATAAAGCCAATAAAGGTAGGTTCGGTACTTACCAATTACCTGGTCTACCTAGCAGCTACAAACTTAAGAATGATTAGAAAGATGCTGAAGAACAGAGAGAGAAAATCCAATGTGAACCCATTTGTAAACAAACGGAAAAACGTTAAGATTAATTTTAAAAAACACCAACGTAAATAACACGCATTTCAAAATCAAGAACTAAAAGACCTCCATCATTAAATTTAAAAAAAGGAAAAATAACTTAGATGAGAAAAAAGTTGCACAAAAGCAAAGGAGTTCGAATTTCAAAGCCTGACGAATCGTAATCGATTCGCTTTACAAGTCGATGCCATGATTACTCGGGTCGAACAATTTCGTACCGAATCTATTCAGTTCGATAACTAGGGTGCCACTGGCACTACATTGTGATCGAATGCACTTGAATCAAATTCTTTCTTCCGCGTTCGTGAGAACGTTCAATTAGTTTGGAAATCTGAGTATTATATAATTCGGTCGTGGTGCTATTAAAAATGTCGTGTACACGATTCTAATTGTCAATTTGGGACTTTGAATGGACCAGACGAGCGAAGTTTAAAGTCTTGGTGAGACATGTAAATGCAGAATGAAAATTGAATAAAGTTCTCCTTTCTTCAGTTTATTGATTCTAGATGGACTTCAGGTTTTCGTCCTCTAAATAAACCGTATGTTAAGTCCTTTTCAAACACGCTGTTTAACTTTACTTCGTCCTTCTAATGCGAAGTTTACAAAACGTGCAGGAGTTTCGTCAAGTACCGCGTCCATAAAGTGATTTCAAAATAACCGTTACCTACTTATTTAGGTCACCATGGAATTAAATTCAATGTTTATCATAGTAACAGGTTTATTTCAAAAATATCCACAGGATATGAACACTTAAAGTTCGTTACGTTCAAATTTAACAGCAAAGCCGTTAAAATATTAATGGCGGTCAGTTATTTAGTAAACTGTTGCCGCTCTAATGGGCTATTTACAAAATATTAACAGTTTTGGAGTCGTTAAAGTTGATGCAAATACACTTTCCAATATGTTTTGCTCTTTAAAATCTTTGAGAAATTACTGCGTTAGGTATAATTAAGGACCGGGCCAATATTTGACGTGTTTAATGTAATCGAGATCCTGGTCTTAGAACCTTTCCGGGAGCTGATATATTTGTAAGCTTAACCAGTCTAGCTCCTATTCTAGAGTACTTTTAACAATTATCTTCATACACTGACCATATTGTTCTGTTGTCCACAGGTTTCCATTTGAGCGGAGTGGTGCGCGCGCCCGCCGCGGTACCGCCATGCTCCGAGCCGGAACGGCTATACAGGGTCACTGTCTCGTTCGACAGGTAAACACGACATTACCTACCTTGTAATTAAACGCAGATTTATGATATACTCACAGGAGAACGGTATACTTGATCAAGGGTTACTACAAAGAAAGGTCATGGTGAACTAAAAGTACCATTAAGGATACTTATTGCTGATGAAAGGAGAATGCTATAAAATTGGACAAGGTTCACTTAAGTATTTAAGAGAATATAATAATTCCTACTGGCGTTTAGGCTACCACAAACATGATTCTTGTAATCAAAATTATGATACATTAGTCAGCCGATGCCATTTATATTAATTGCAACAAGCATACAGAAGCGTTTCGCCCACAATTTAGCGTTGTTAAGATAAAAAGTGCGATTTTATCTGTTCTCTGCTTGGTTGGTCTGATTATTTGGTTCTTTGGGACTGGCCAATCAGAGCACCGAACGCGGTCTCGTTTAGATTACTAAGCCCTCTGATCTGTATTGTCTGAACTCATATATCATTAGTGAGTCAGCAGTTTCAGCGTAAAAGAACTACTTACTACAAACATACCTTCTTTTTTGTAAGCAATAGGAGCATGATACAGTAGAATAAATATTCGTTTTACGTCACAGTCCAAACGAAAGCACCAACAAAAACTGTAAAGACAAAGTACAAAAAGCTTCCATTCGAAAAATCAATCATAGTTCAAACGAAATAAATAGTTCCTTCAACTTTACAGGAAAACAAAGAAGTTAGAATAGAAAGGGTCACAAAGGCTCAACTATTGTATTGTTTATCCGAAAGGGCACTTTTTACCCAAACGCCGATGTACCCGCATAATAGCTATTGTGTAGAAAACTTTGTCACTTCTAATAATGGCGATTGTCGGTTATTTTTATGATAATATTCTTGTTGGCAAGTTGTGGGACTTGTGGATATATGTCATGGATAAGCAATCTCGAGAATAGATACTGAGATAGCCATAGCTGAGAAATTGTACAACTGATTAGGAAACGTAGTCTATTATACTAGATTTTGTCAATGTTTAGTCAGTTTTGCTTACAAAAGTTTTTAAAGACGATGTACAGGGTGTAAGGTCGTCGTTAGATATCAAACGCATTAGTGACCGTAAAAGTTTATTGTTTATAAAAAGTGCAGAGCACTTTCTTAATCTTAATGTTTAATGTTAAAAATGTTAGAAATGTTAATGTTTTTGTTATTTGATGAATGCACCCGTTCTGTTCGCGATCGACAACTACACTAATGTCTCGTATGTTCATGTTAAAACAATACATGAAAACTGCTTCACAAGCAGGTGTTCGGGTTTACGGCGAACAGACGAAATTATACCCAATGTTTATTGGGGATAAAACAGTAATTAAAATATATGATTTTTTTTTAACAAGAGTGAAGTATCTTTTCGATTTGGAAAGTGTTCTAAAGAGACTTGTTCTTTAGATGCAAGATAACTGGAGTGACGTGCAGCTGCGAAGCGCGCGACATCTTCTGGTGTCAGCATGTGGTGGCGCTGGCGCTCTACCGCATCAGAAACGCAGATTCCGTCAGGCTGAGGGTGCCTATATCAGGTGAGATTTGGAACCAAACTCCACTAACTACTTAGAAAAACGTAAACTTTCAATTTGTGGATACAAAATCATCAAATGAGACCTCCTGCCGTGTGAGAAAGGAGATGTCAGATTCTCACTGACTACAAACCATCCTGTTTCAACTCCCGTTCCGTGTCAAAGCCTCAGTACTTATATGGCGACCTCCCCTAAACCCCGGTAGGACCAAAACTAGCTTAACCCGTCGAGCGTCCGCGTTCCTTATGATCCAACGGTTGCACACGTGACATTTGGAGAAAGAACGAAAGAAAGATAATGCATTTATTTGGCCATTGGCACACGAAAACAAGGATCATTACAATAGAAATAAAAAATACAGTCAAAATAAAAACAAAACATTAATAATAGATTGTTCTTATGATCCACCGGGTGCTCATAAGGACGCTCGAGGGGTTACGTTAAAGTCAGACACATTTATTGCTATTAGTATTGAACCAAGTAGGACTTTTCAATGTCAAACTATAATAATGTCAGTCTATCAGTCCCATTCAATATTTATTAAATGAAGTAGCCAATATGATTAGTGAACATGATTAAGCGTAAACAGTATCAATATAAATACTTCGACCCAGTATATTTCTTTGGCACATTGGCAATCGTTAACTGTAGTTAAAAGATCATGAAAAATGTAGGTCATTAACAAAATACCGCATGGTTTTCCAGAAACCCTGCTGCAGATGGACAGGCAACAGTTGCAAAAGTTCGTGCAGTACTTAATAGCAGAGCATCATACGGAGGTCCTGCCGACAGCGCAGCGGTTAGCTGACGAGGTCCTGCAAGCCAGGTCTGCCATCAACAGGATCTGTGGAGCACCTGACCCAACGGCAGGACCGCCGCCTGATGCACACCATGCTTGGCACTTGGATGAGCAACAAGTAAGTGGCAATTAAAATATCCGAAATATTTTACTAACTAATTCTAAACTACCAGTGTACCATATTCTGGTTGGTTTTAAAATGGTCGACTTTAATCATCTCCTTTTGTTTCAGGTTTGCGAACAAGTGCGAGCGTATTTATTACAGGGGACTTATTACAATGCAAATAAACAACTTAACTCATTATTTTCTAAGGTAAGAAGTTGTTTACATTTATTAGGACCAATTCACAAGACTATAAAATTTATGTTTTCCTCTTTATAATAAGATTTGAAGAGATGGAGAGCATAACTGATTCTGCTATAAAAATGTAGTCATTAAAACAAACATGGTATGGTATCAGGATCATTTGTATCACGGTATGGTATCATGATAATTTCTATCATAGGATCTTATCTAGTTTTAAACACGTTAAGCAACAAAACTTACCCAAGTTTCCTTAACAGAGTAACTAAAAATGTATTTAAACTTATCTTCTGTTCTAGGTAAGAGAAATGCTCCGCGCCCAAGACTCTAACGGTCCTAGGATGCTGATGCTTATGACAGAACAGTTCCTATCAGACCCAAGGTTACTCCTATGGAGAAACCAAAACACCCCCATGACGGAGAAGTGCAGACAGTTATGGGAACAACTAGGAGCATTGTGGGTCAGCATAGTTTTGGACCCCGGCAGTAACAAACATCATAGGATACAATGGAGACATCTGTTGGAAAAATGGTCTGCCGTCGAAGTTTGTCCCACTGAAGATCCGGATTATCGGTCTTTTCCTTTGGTAAGAATTACTTTTTTTGCTAAACAATACCTCTTTTTCTTTAACGGTAGTAATTTTTTTTATATTTGAAACCTTAGGACCAATGTTTATTTTAAATTCAAAAACGCTCATTAATATTTTTCCGAAACAAAGATCGTCAATAATTAATAAATTATTTCAAAAATAAATTTTCTTGACTCTATCTTTCTTCTACAGTACGCAAGAGAAAGGGAAAGAAACGAGAGAGATCGTGACAGAGACCACAGAGATAGAGACAGAGAAAGGCATCGCGACCGAGAGGAGAGGGACCGAGAGAGACTGCGCGAAAGAGAGGAGAGAGACAGGTAAGAAATAGATTATCAACAGGAATTAGAGATGATTTAACGTCTTCCGACATAATTACGCACAATATTACGTGTTACATTACTCTAATAATTACAATTTTATTTTTATTTTTCCAGAGAAAGACATAGAGAAAGACAGAGAAGAGAAATGCATTCCCATTCAGAAAGTTCAGACGAAGAATCTAGGCCTAATAAGTAAGTTGTTGACTGATTCAAGTACAAACTCTTTGGTTAGACCCATATTAACTACTGGAATAAAAGCACTCATAAAGTGGCGCTGCTGTAGCTAATGGACACTTGTTGGATGGAGTTGTGGACTTCATCTTCTTTGTTACTTCTATATCTCCACCCTTTGATAGTCTTAATTATGGTCAATTCAAGATAATTTTTCTCAAAGATATTATTGCTGAATAAAGAATTTTATTTACAGTTATGAACGCGAATACAGGAGAGCAAGTAAAAGACTAAGACTAAACAACCAAAGATCCGCACCGCAGCTGACGCCACGGACTGTTTTTCATAAGTAAGTCTTCTGTCATGCTACTAGAATCCAATTTAGAACAACTAATCTTTATAATCCTTAGTGACGGAATTAAGCTATCATTTAATTAAATCATGTCAATTTGAGATTACTGAACTATTTAAATATCTGGAATGATGTTTCTTCTTTCATTTCCGCTAGGTTCTTTCATTCCTCTTTTTGTGCCTCAAAGGTTATGACTCCTCTCTTTTTAGGGCGCTGGATGCGGTAGACATATCCTGGGAGAACGAACACCTGAAGAACATCCTAGGTAGTGATGAGTACATCGACCCTGACAAACCGGAGAAACCTGGCAGTTCCACGACGACGACGCTGCAACCTTACCCCAAGTTCAATGAAGATGGACAGCCTCTGTGGCACGGTGAGTGAGATGGAAGGTGGTGTATTAGAGAGCTATAATTTTTGTTCGAACATTTAGATGCCTTAAAAATGCGGTAGCCATCTCCTGAATTTTTGGTGTAATTTGCCCAAATTAAACCAAACTTAACATAATAACAACTCTGTAGATATGTACGAATGTTAAGTCAAGATAAATAGATATTATCAGATAATGTTATTGATGAAATATTGGCATATTTATATGACTCTTATTAAATTAATTTCAGAGCACTTACCAGTGGTAGGCGCCCGTATCGAAGCACTGCGAGCGCACGGCCGCGCCCCCGCAGCTCTGAGACTGGCCGTCAGTGCCGCCAGAGCCATGAGACATCGACAGGTAATGTCCCAAACAGTGAGTGCTACATCCAGCTTCCAAATATGTTGAACCTTATTTGCAAAACGAATAAGGTTGAAAATATATTAAAGAAAGAAAGACGTAATAATATCAGAATAGTATGGACACACCTGAGACTGAGACACCTTTAAACTGTCAAACACCAAGCGGTCACCGGTGACCGCAACCTATTGTTCTTTAATTGTGTCTATAAATACGGTACCCGACGAGTTAAATTTTAAACTAAAACATAAAAAAAATTCAATAACCCGTGAAAGTCTACTGGCTCAAGTTGACTGTAGGCTACTAGTCACCGAGTCGACTGTTAGGGCGCCTTCACAATGGTCACTGTATTTTGTAGCTGATTTGAAGACGACACCAGTTCAACAAAAAGTAAAAGTATTCAAGAATTTATTACATCTATAATGTACTCTGCCATCAGTTCATCACTTAAGAAATAGAATAAAACAAGAAAATATTTTTCTCACAGGAGGTGTCACAACAGCGATGGCAAGAAGCCGGAGGGGGTGAGGCATCGTCTTCGGGGGGCTCGGGCGGTGGCAGCGGGCCGGGCAGTGGCAGCGGGGGCGCGTCGTGCGCGGGGTCGGACGCGTGCGCCGGCGCATGCACCGAGCGCGTGCGCCTGGCGCAGGTCTGTGCACACATGGACTTCGGCTCCTGTCTGTCCAGTAGCGCCACCTGTGCACTCTCACACAGCCAGCGGTGTATCGGAAGAGGTATGCTTTTTTATCTGTTCTCATATTAAACTTTTGATTCGTATCTTTACGTATTTTTTCTAGTTCTACCTTTTCCCAATCCTAGCTTACTAAGCCGTTGTTAGGTAGCAAGCAAATCTAAACAAGACATAATGTATTTTTTATTATATCTCATGTAGCGAATAAACGAGTTAAAGTGGTCTCGCACCCATTGGATTGAGACAAGCCATAGAAATATTCCCTTGTATGGCTAGCTTGTCTTAACATTTCATGTATTCAAAAGTTACTTACCACAAATATTATTTTGCTCTGAACAGACAGCAGATGTTGGACCGGATGGACATTAGAAGCCATTTGGTGCGTCTACGAATGCCTAGCCGATGCCTGTCTAGCACCCGATGATCAACGCGCATCACCCAGATTACACACAGCTTATCTTGATGAAGAACCCAACACGGGCCTGCCGCCTAGGTAAGACAACATTTTCACATCATGTTTTTAATATACCAAACTATGAATGTTAATATCAGAAACACTGAAGGGTAAAGTTTACGTTTTTGCTGAATGAAAAATATTCATGAGTGCATCTTGTCCAGGTATCAACACGTCCCAGTAGCGGGTAGCAAGAACCCTGAAGAGACTTACCTGGCACTAGCATTAGAGGCAGCGTTACTAGGGTTGGGGGTACAGAGGATGCTACCACAGGGACTGTATGCGCAAGAGAGGCATTGTAAGCAAGAGGAGAGACTCATTGCACAGCTGCAGAGAGTGGAAGGGGAAGCCGCCGCAGGAGTCTGCGCGAGAGTGGCAGCCGCATTACTAGCTGGTGGACCTGCGTCGTGCTTAGGTGCACGAGTACACCCTCGAGCAGCGCCAGCGCATACATTTGCGCGATTCCTCTTCCTAGCTCTCCTCCCCGCGCACCCCGATCTGGCCTACCGAGTAGGACTCCGGGCCATGCGCCTGCCCATGGTGGAGGAAGCCTACGCGCTAGATGGCAGTAGTGCGGCCGGCGCACCAGGGGGCGCTGCTGGTGCCTGGCATACGTTGCAACATGCTGAACAACAGCAAGCTGCTCTCGCCAGTGCATTACTAGGTAAGACTAATTTAAATCACGAATAAAGACTGCCTAAGTCAAACAAATCGTTTTCTATTGCAGACATGTTGGGTTAAATGGAACTAAAATTAAACATTACCGCAGATAGAGACATAAATAAACTCTCCTCATTTTTCCTTGAAGGAGGCAAAACTAAAGTTCATGTTCGGTCGTATTAAGGAACCAAGCTCGGTGATCATACTTGCGTAATGTTGGGGTTGGACGTCCAAACCCCACATTATTATCGATCTTCTATGTGCGTTGGCACAAGTCTCTCTCGGTATTCTTTAACAGTTTACTATACAAAACATGTATCACCTAACAGGTGCAGCTCGTGGCAACCCGGGCAGGTTACGAGCCGCGCTGGGCGCCGCGCAGCGCCACGTGCGGTCGGCCGCGCAACTGTTCCGGCTGGCGCAGGACGCGCTGCGACACGCCGCGCCGCCCGCCGCGCCGCACCATCATCGAGACCTACTCGCTGCCGCATTCGAACTGGGGTTACAGGTACATATACTATACTATTCTTGTTCATGCCATGTGCTTTTACTTTTGCAAAGGATATGATATTGTAGCTGAAATTATAGAATTTATATTCCAATCAAATCTAAATTGGATAAATGTTTAATGAACAAGCCAAATTCGGTGAGGACCATAAGTAGTTGTGTAAGAAGACATGATCTCAACTCGATAGATGGCGTTGAGATCGAGTTAAATCGCTCTAGGGTTGTATATCCCTCAATTACATTTACTTCAGTGGTCAAAAGTAACGCAATATCTGTTTTCCAGGTGTTACGCATGACGTTATCCTCGGTGAACTGGCGAAGACGAGAAATGGTTCGCTGGCTCGTCACCTGTGCCACGGAACTTGGGCTAGACGCACTCCTGTCCATCATGCAAAACTGGTGAGTTTACCTTCCTTTAATTTTAGTTCAGTTACATACATACAGCAGGTTAAAAGTTTGCCTATTCTATGCGACTCGATCACTTGATTGAAGACATAAATGGTGAATATTTAATGATACTGTAAAGACCACCAATTAACACATAGCCTAACGCGTTTATCACACCCGAAACTCCTTGCTAACAAAACACAAATAAAATAACTAACATCAAAAACAAATGCAACAGGTACGAGTTGTTCACGCCGACGGAAGCAACAGGTCCAGTGGCCGCGGCAGCAATGTCCCACGCTACTGCACTACGGCTCGGTCTCAGCTTCGAACAGCAAGAAAAACTTAGCGCTTGTGCGAGGACATTAGCGCTACAGTGTGCTGCTAAGGTAAGCAATATTGAACTTTATTGACTTAACAAAGCTTACTATGTTTTATGGCATACTCTCGTAACTGTTTGACTATGTAATTCGACTAGTTTCAAGCCAAGCTGCGGACTTATAGTTCAGCAGTTACGTGAATTAAAGTAAATAAGCCGTAAACAGCAAAAACTCGATGTCAGATCAAGTCAGAATAGTGCAACAGAAAACAATTGAACATTCAATTATTTTCTAGTTTACTGTACTTAAATATTTACCTTATGGTGACCTTGAATACAACTACATAAACCTTACTTCTTCCAGGACCCTCCAGGTTGTGCTCTAAGCGCTCTATCAGTGTGCGAAGGCTCGGCCGGTGCATTCGAGGCCGCGTGCGCAGCGGTGGGCGGCGCGGCCGCGCGGGGCGCGCTGGCGTCCAGCCAACTGTTCGCAGTGGCGCGGTACATGGAGCAACGGGGCCAGCCTGCCAGGGCCATGCGGCTAGCTACACTGGCTATGCGAAACCTCCATTTACATTATAACCAGGTAAGACAAACATTTAAACGGAATCATCATGTTACGTTCCCCATTTAATCCTGGAGAAAAATAGGTCATCATAATTTTTGTATAGGTAGGATGTGTAGTCAAAATACAAAATTAGGGACATTGTCCAACTGTACCTACTACATACATAATTAAACAGTAATATATTAACTTAGTGACTAATTAACCATTCTTTAGTGACGAATTATTTTATTCTAACTTTAACATTCAAGCACTCTTCTTAACTCTTTGACGATAATGTTAATTTGCATTTGTCACATTTGAATGTGTTGTTACAGGACAGCCACCCTGCGATCGCGGACATCCACTGGGCGGTTGCGCTGGCGCACTCACTGGGACGCGCCGAGCTACAGGCCATGTTACCACTGCTTGTCAAGAACGTGCAGTGCGCGCCTGTACTTGTAAGTAACTTATCTAATACAGTGAAACCTGGTTAAGTGAGACATCAAGGGACCTGCAATGTCGTTTCACTTATAGAGGTATTCCACTTACCCAGTGTCTCAGATATACAGGTATAAATAAATATCTGTCTCATTTACAGAGGGTTCCATTAACAGAGGTGGACTTGGAATTACGTGTGGAATTTGTGGGTAGAATAAGATTGAGTAAACATACAATGTTATCTCAGTTACAGAGGTATATGCATATAAAATTTACTCGCTGTCTCAGTTATAGAGGTAACTATGATGATAAATCGATAGAACAAATCCCAGATATAGAGGTTTACCTCGTCCCAGTAACAGAGGTAATTCAGTGCCAAAGTGTTGGGACCTCAGCATGAGTTCCAGTTATGGAGGTTTCTCACTTATCCAGGTCCCACTTAACCAAGTTTCACTGTAATTATTAGGAGACCCAAAACCTTAACTTTACTCAACAAATCAAATTCGATTACAAACACATTAGGATAAAGACACTTTTTCATCCTACCTTTCCTCTTTTTCCATTCTCTCTTATCAGACGTCTACTAACTCTCTCCTCTTTTAATAGACTTTTCTAGATATTATTTTTCTATCCTTCCATATCTTGCTTTGTGACATAATTTTCAGCACATTCACTCCTGTGTTAAAAATTATGTGACTCCGGATGTAATAAAGTTTGGTCGTGTACAGTCGGACGTGCTGCGCCGCTGCTGCGTGGCGGCGGCGGGGTGCTCCCGGTCGCGCGGCGCGCCCCCGCGGCCGCCGACCCCGCTGCGGCCGCTGCTGGAGGCGGCGCTGCGTGCGTACGCGTCTACCACGCATGCGCGCCTCGCACACATCTCGCCGCGCCATTACGCCGACTTTGTCGAATTTCTCGGTACGTATGTCTGTTCTAAGCTTTATTTTTTTACACTACAAGTAGTCTACAAGTAGTTAATTCCACTATTTACTGTTAGACATCATAAAACCAAATTGATGGATATACCTACTTAAATACGAATTTATACTTAAAAGCTAAATAGACATTGATTGAAATCGTAGATAATAATTATGTTTACATCACTGCAGCCAAGCAATCAATCTAAACTAAATACTAAATTAAAAATATAATTTATACACTATCTTACCTCTACTCTTCTCTCTCTTGCAGGTAAAGCTCGCGACACATTTGCGTTAGCGCCGGACGGCCCGCATCAGTTCGCAGCGCTCCTTCAAGAGATCAAGCTCAAATACAAAGGAAAAAAGAAACTCATGTTCCTCGTCAAAGAGAGGTTCGGATGAACTGACTTCAATAGTTAATGTTTGTTACTCGTTCAATACAAACCCCACCGAGTGTGCAACGTTTGCTAGTATGGCATTCCATTGAAAAAAGGCATTTTGTTACGATGCGAGAAATTTTAGTTCAAAATTTTTTGTTGTTTTGTTCATTATTTTCGAGACTACTACTGAACTAAAAGACCGCATTGCTATGACATTTCCATCTTTATTTTTTTAATATTGCTATCACTGCAACTTATTTTCCAAGTAGGTAATTTTGGCGCCATTCACCAACTGTCAACAGTGTCAACTGTCAACAGTGTCAACTTTTTTTTCTTAATGGCAGCCTTTATCTTTCTACCTAAAAAAATAATAATTTATAAAATTCTAAGACACAATGCAAAGCCATTTTTGTCAACGTCCTTGGTAAAGGCATTATATCTTAGAATTTTATATTGAACCAGACTGCAAATAATATTTCTCATTTCTGTTCGGTCTTTTATGAAGTAGGAAGTCGTAAAACAACTCTTCAATCCTCATGGCATGCTGTAATATTGTTGAATTAGTGCAATTATTGTTTTCATTTGAAAGATTTGTTTTTTTTTATCATTATGTTGAGACTCGTGCAATAAGCTGCCATGGGACAATTTTATTTAGTTACGTGAAGCAAGAAGTCTTTTATCCTTGCCACAACGCATAATTTTGTTAAAGACGATTTGTTTTATAATTAAATTCTAATTTAGTATAAGATGTAAAAAAACTAAATTTTGTAAAATTACAAAATATGCCCGTGACTTGTCAAGTACTAGTGTGACAACGCTACTTACATAACGAGGACATGTGTCGTTTCGTTCCGCGGTAATTTAAGCTCGAAATAATTTTACCGTCACGGTAAAAATGATTACCTCATGCGAGTTACACATAGTCTCGTGTACCCGCCGTGTACCAAACCAGTCTATTCTAAAGTATTATTTTGTTAATTTACTAATTATAAATACGGCTGACCTCGTAATTTTCATTTTTTTATTATCGTAAGAAATGATCTCAATAATTCCATTTGTGTAAATAGAAACGAGTTTGTAAATATAGTACGAAGACAAGTTAGTATTGGAAAATATTAGTTAATTATTGTAATTAGTTATGTGATCTGTGCGAGGATTGCGTGCTGTATAAATTGTGTAAATGTCAGTGTGTTCTGGAGTGGTGAAATATCGTTAATGTTAAGCGATATTCGCACAAATCGCAAGTTGTAATTAGGTTTAGTCACGCCACTCGTATAGCGTCCAATAGCAATGGGATAATTCATAAATATGACACAAACACCAAAGAATATCGTAAGTCCAACGTGAGATAAGCAACGCCATCATTCTTTCAGTATTCTTGAGTATTCTGTATCTGTATAGATTTTTGTTTTATATTATTACCATGGCACTGTTTGTGCAAAATACTGAGCCGCGAAAGTTCTCTATGAATATTTTATACACATAACCAAGCCGTATCTTGTCAATTTTCTATTATGTACACAAAATTTATTTCAAGACCTTTATTCTTCATGTGTTACTTCTAACTATAAATAATTTGACTTTAGTCGTTATTTCTTTGAACTCTGCCTTTTCTTGTTTAGAGTAGATAATTAAATTTTAACAAGAAGTGCATTTATAAAGATAGAAATGAATAATATTTAAAAATAGAGACGATGTATGGATAGTCTTGAGAGAATAGTATGAATTGAATAGTATATAGACTTAATGAAGGACTTTTGTACTTTTTGTGGTGTGTATGAGGGTTGTGCAAAACTTATTTTGACATGTACAAAGAAACATACAAAGTAAATATTGTATCCGTTCATTGAATCAAAATTTTGCCAACCCTATATTGTGTCAAATAAAAAAAAAACAGGACATTAGTACTCATTATAATATTGATATAAATGTAAATATATAAAATATTATTTTTAGTTAGAGCGCTGATAGTAGACACATCCAATATCTTCCTAATCAGAGATTTTTACACGAAAAAAATTAGTAATATCTGGTAGAAAAGTGATCAATAGTAACAGTAAAATGTATGGTATTTATTATACTGCTTTATACATGTTACATTCATAGAACGGCATAACATTGTAATGTATATAGCGGAACCATATTTAGCTTGAGAACGTATAACATTAATCAAAGAAAGGGCAATAAAAATGTCGTCTATTTTTTTTTAATCTAAGACAGGCGTCTGATTCGATAGTGTTGGTTACTTCTCAAGTTGAATGTGTGTTCCGTGTCAAACGCTACAAATATCATGTGACAAGTGTGAGTCAAGTAAACTATCTCAGTCTGAACGCAGCATTGCGTAAGTGGTGTTTATAAAATTATTTTTTGTATGAAAAGAGAAATTAATTTTCATAATAATGCAAATAAATTAATGTCGAGCAATAATTTCGAAGCCTTCGGCCGGTCTGACGTGATTCTGTATGTACAACTTTATTGGTTGTCGGGAACATGTGTTTGTGTAGCTTTTTAGTCTGTGTGCGTGGTGCATTTGATTATGGAGTCAAAAATTATCAATCTGAGTGCAATAGAAATATTTTTATTGATCATTATCTTTCTTATTATTTATTTTCATTTAACTGCAATATTCTGTAATTATGTAAATGCATTTGTTTTGTTACCTATCAATAATTTTTACTAATTTTCTTTGACACGACTTGCCAACTTATAAACTCCATGCAAATATTTGACCTCAAGTGCCTTCAGGCGAGTCCAAATAAGCCAGACCGGCTCATTACTTGATTATGTTGTATTTTTATTTAATACTGTCAGTGGTTATATTGTAATTGTGTTGTACGTCAAACGTGGACACCCTTCAGTGCTGGTATTATGAAGGTGATAATTTCAATATAAATAATTGAAAAACTAACGTTTTGTTTTATTTTTTTCTTGTTTGTAAATCAAATCTCATCTATCCAACTCACGCCCGAATACTGATTATTTGAGCCCAATTGAGCCTAATAATTACACTTAAAAGAAACAACGCAAACATTGTTTCACGTCGGTTTTCTGTGAGGCCGTGGTATCACTTCGGTCAAGCCGGCCCATTCGTGCCGAAGCATGGCTCTCCCACACTTAGAACTAGTTTCTCAAAATTAAGAATCTGCTTGCATGAAGTTGAAAAATGTAAAGTCGGGTATTCATTAGGCAACATTTGTTTATAAACACTGTTTATAAACAGTGTTTCACAAACATAAACACTGTTTATAAACAGTGTTTTACAATGTTTCATCATCTCTGTAAACAGTTTATATACAAAGGTGATGCAACATTGCTTATTAAACATGTTGCCATGCTTCCCACTTCGAGTGGAGAGCAAGACGAAACGTCTAGTTTATAAGCAAAAGTCAATAGGTGTGGACGTGTGTTGCGCGAGTTTATAAACATGGAAGTAGTGTGGTCCAACAACCAGGTTTCGATGCTCATAGAGCTTTACCAACAGCGTAATATACTTTGGGATGCTTCAAATAAAGATTATAAAGATAAATTTAAAAAAAATGATGCTTGGGCCGACATTGCTGCAGAATTGAATATGTCGCAAAAGGAAGTGGAAACAAAGATGCATATTCTACGCTCACAATTTTCTCGTGAAAAGAAAAAACTTAAGTCATCAAAAAGAACTGGAAGCGGTGCCGAGGAAGTGATTAAAAGCAGATGGCAGTGGTATGATCCGCTACAATATTTATTACGTGGTGCAACGACATCTGGAACATCGGATACAATGGGAACGGTGAGTACCTACATTTTTATATTATTTGCTAAGTTGATAATATTAATGTAATTTTTTCATCTTTTCAAGGTAACGGGTTAGTAAATTTTAAATCAAACACAAAACTCTAAATTGTAATCAGAACTTTATTTGGAAAAAAACAGGTAGGTACACAAAGCACCGCTAATTAGTTAGCGGCGCTACACATCGACACAACTATCATTTACACAATATACATGTGTGGGTAATTTCATATCAATAGATATGTATAGAAACATTCGTCTATCACACACATCTTGGTATTTAAAAATCATTTTTGTGTCGGTATACGCAATAATTTAGTAAATAAGTTTAAATAAAAACGAGGGTAAAGATAAAATTACTCATAACAAACTTTGAATAAATCGAAATCAAAAATAATGAACGATCGAGCTATACAATACCCATATAAATATAGTGCTTTCTCATTGTAATTTTATGTTACTGAATGATATAAAATATTTCGATGATCTCATCTACAGCGCGCTTGGCGCAATGGTTATCGCCTCCAATTGTCAAGTAAAGTGCCGCCGGATCGATTCCAACATTCACATGTTGTTTTAGAATTAATTTATCAAATATTTGAAATTTGAAGAAATTAGAAACAATTAAATCTTTTCTTTTTTTTTCCTTTCCTATTGTTCTAAATCTTATGTTAATTTTAATAGTAAATACTTTAGATTTATTTATACCTATAATATCTTTTATTTATATTTTAGTTCTAGTTATTTATTATTTAGAATAATCTCATTTGCTTCATGCATTTCAACCAACTTAAATAAGATAAAAACAGTAAAAAAGTAATTAACTGTGATTTCTTAATGGTTCGATACCTGAGTATATTTGCAATGTTTGTGGCGACCATAGAAATCTCGAGTCATTTTATTTTACACGCTTATGAAGTAACTACCGACTATTTAAAACATGTTTTTCAAATCACCCGACTTACAAAATAATTGCGTTCTTAGTTGTCAATTTATGAGGATTTCATAGTTTATTGCTACACTACTTATATTCGTGTGCAAAGTTATTTTTATTTTTACAAGATGTTCCAACACCTATCAACATTTAAAAAGGCTGAAACCATTGTTTTGCATGAGCAAAACATAACTAACAATAACTGAAATAGCAAGGCGTTTAATGATATCGGTGAGTAAATAAGATACTACGTTGATATTCTAAATAATATTTATTTCATTTTGTAACTCGACACACCTATCAATTTTTGCACTAGAATAAAATAATTATTGCAACTTATTATGAAGTTCAATATTATAAAGATATATTAATAATTTATTATTAATTGTATTGTAACTTGACTTGTTTTTGTTAGGAGTGTTTCTTTAAAACATATCTGGTTAGGGATTTTTATTCCTTACGCCACTACTTAATTATAAATTATTATTCTAACATTGTGTTTACTTATATTATATTTATATTTTTAAGTAACTTTAATTCCTGTAAAGTATTTCCTGGTATTTTAAATACTTATTTGTTTGGTATCAACAGAGGAGATCCATGCAGTTATGGGTGCACAGATATGCGGAGACCGGTGACGTTAAACATCGTCGACGTGGGCCTAAACCAAAGGCAAATTCATCGGCTCGGCACTACGACATCGTAGCCAGGCACATGGCTGATCCGTTCCTGCCAACCCGCACTACAGCGACAGCACTGAATGTTTTAATACAAACTGTACGGAGACACCTGCATTCTGGTTTAAGGTGCAGGAAGCCAGAGAAGAAAATATTGTTATCTGTGGTTCACCAGCAAAAGCGCTAAGAATTTGCTAAGGACTTTATTAATTTTGATTGGGCGAACAGTGTAATCATATTGAGCGACGAAAAGACTTTCAAGTCGGATAAGGATGGGCGTAAAATATTGTGAAGAAAAGATGGAGAAAGGTATACGAATTGCAACCTTCTGCCTTGTAGGATCAGTGATTGTATTGATTTCGGAATCAATTATTGAGCCTGTCAAACTCTGCCTTTATTAAAATTAACATAAAATAATGTTTAATTTTTTTTAAGAATATTAAAATGCTGTCTAGAACATACGGTGAAGTGATGTTATTGTTTTGTGGTTAGAAATTGTCATAATTTCTTTCTATTCAACATGTTTATTCACTTCACTTTAATTTTTCATTAACAAATTTATTTAACTGCTTTCGAACTTGATTGACATATTATATTTACGCCCATCTTCAATTAATTTAAAGTTTCCCTGATTCTAAAGGTCATGAAAGTTAAAATCGTTCCATAGCATTCGTCACATTCTTTTTACTATCATACAGCCCACTGAATATTGAACCTTATAACAACCGTCGTAAAATAGATAATTAATGGAAGTTCAAACGACAAAAAGTCGCCCATTTCAAGAAATATTATGTTGACAGTGTAATTTTTTACATGTTTTACTTGTTTATTACTGTAAAACTGTAATTTAATAATACATTATATTATTAAATTACAAAACAAGAATGTTGTATATTTGTTTATTACCTACTTAATAAAAAATGTTGCTGCCATCGTATTACCGCTGTACCGCATGATATTTCCCGATTCGACTATGAGGTTTATTGTCATATCTATTAATTATGATTTAAAGAACTTTAAACTTAACATGTGGTATATAATTAATTATTAGATATAAATATTGAATATAAAACAACATATTTGTATAATAAATAAATTAATTGTAATAAAAAATAGTATTGTTTTATTTACCAACTCATTTGCTTCTTTTATAGCCTGATATTTATATTTTATGACAAAAAACAAAAAAAAAATAAGAAAAATAACAAGGTAAAATAAAATTAACTTTTAGCTGGAATAGAACCCACATCATTGATCCTTGAAAGACGATAAAAGCGTGCTCATTAACCAATCGACCACGAGCACTACGATAATGACAGTGAAAATGTCGGGTCATATCAATGATTGTAAAAAGTTTTAACCTTACCTATGCATTAAATTATAAAAATACGTATACCGACACAAGAATGAAAATACCAATGTGAACGTGGTGGACGAATATTTTTATATACAATTATATGAAATTACGCACACATGTACACTGTGTAAATGACAGTTGTGTCGATGTGTAGCGCTGCAACTAATTAGCGGTGCTTTGTGTACATAGGTACCTACTATTTTAAGTATTATGCATGAGAATTTTGCCACGGCACACTACCTTCTGGACTAATGAAATATTCAGCAAATTGATCTCTTACAACCGTAGCAGCTAGTGGGGGATGTCTTGCAATAGGTTGTAAATCCAACATGCTGTTGTGAGGGCCACGAGCACACTGAGAGCACACTGCGTTTCACATAAATTAAAAATTAGAATTCCGCGCGTTTGTCAGAAGGCCCGTATCGTCTTGTTGGACGTTTCGTCTCGCAAGCGGCCCGCATGAGACGAAATGTCCAATGAGAGCACTGCACGGGCCCTACGGTTGACGCATTCGTGTACAGGGTTGCCAATCTGTGGGGAATTCCCCAAACTGCGGGGAATCTCAAGTTGGTTGGGGATTTATTGGGGATTGGCATTATGTGGGGAAAATGCGGGGATTTTGACATCTTTTGGCATTTGACACAAATTGGAAAATATTTCATCGTTTATTATCGATAACAACATTTTTTAAAATCATAAAGCATGAAAGCTGGAGAGAATATGGAAGATTTGAAAAAATATGAAAATCGAGGTACATTTTGCAGCTATTGCAGATTTCTATAAGACATGCTAAGAATTTTATATGGAATTCACGTCGGACATTATTAAGATATTTGATTTCCGAGATCCTTTATTTTCTATTATATCTGTTTCAAATCCATTAGAAGCTCAACAGTTTCAAATTAAATCACTGGTGCCTGTACTAAAGTGACGTCCAGTGTTTTATAAATTTGTGACAGTACAAAAATTAGAAGATGAGTGGCGAACTCACGCTAAGCTGGATTTTCATCAACATGGGCTTGAAGTTCATGGAGATAACATTGATGATGAATGTTACCGGGGTAAAGGGTTTTGCATGAAAAACGCTGCGGGGGAATATCTATCCTCAAACATAAAAATTGTTATTTCATTATTGCTGATATTGCCTTTATCAAATGCATCAGTCGAGTGCTAGTGTCCTTAAAATTTTTAAACTGAAAACCGCAATAGATTAAATACAGATACTATAGTATCATTAATGGCTACAAGGGAAGGGATTAAAAAACTGGGCGACAGTGTCAAGTTGAACCCTTCGAACAAAATGCTTTCGACTAATATATGGAAAAAATATAAAAGATAAACAATCAATATTATTTAAATAATTGATTATAGTTTTATTTTATAAAAAAACTTTTGAGGGGAATTTGTGGGGAATCAGCGGATTTTTATTCCCCAATTTGGGGAATTCGATCAGGAATTTTGGGGATTTTGATGAATTAGCTTTGGCAACCCTGTTCGTGTATCCTACTCGCTAGCACAGATTACATACTAGCTAGTTTCCCCCTCAGTAACAGTGTGTGTGTCAACCAACAACTGCTCCCGTGTCAAACATACATAAACATGACCAGCTCTGTTCATTTTACCGAATTTGAAATGTCTCGACTAGTAAACATTTATAAAGACTACGCCTGTCTTTGGAACCCAAATCATGAAGCATACAGAGACAATGCAGCTAGATTAAAGGTATACAAAGAAATCATGGAAAAACTGAACATACCTAACCTAACAGCCAAAGATATCCCGATAAAAATAAAAAATTTGAGGTCATCATACTACCAAGAAATAAAAAGGATTAGAAGAAGTATTCGAGCTGGTGGAGGCGGGGCTGAGTATAAACCAAAAGTATCGTGGTTTAAAACGCTACATAAATTGTTAGAACCATTTGTATTTGAACGGCCTGACGTACAGAAGGTAAGAACTTTCTTTAGAAGTAGGTACGTTATTCTCGGTATCTAACGGTACTTGGCACAAGATTTACCGATAAAATGATTTCGTCTACTTTAATTTTAATGCAGTACTATTTTGACTGGCAAAATTACACTTGCGCGCAGCGCAATACTACAATGCTTTCGGTATAATGTACACATCAATGATCGGACGTTCCGTATTACGCGTTCCCCTATACTTATTTATTTACTCTATGGATACGCGTCAGCCGCGCTGCCAGCCGCACTGTGCAGTAAGTTACTAGGGTTGACAAAACGCTTAAAGTAACAATAATACCTACTGAATAGCTGAGAATTAACTCGTTAATCCGTTAATTAACGAAGTTAACATTTTGATTAACGGATTAACTTTTAAAAATGTTAAAGGACACGTTAACTTCCGTGAAAATGCAGAAGTCCGGTAATCGTTAATCCAATGCCTACTATTTACCGCACGGCGCGGCACCGCGGCGCAGCGCGTAAAACAGGTTCAGACCAGTATGAAATGACAAGTGCCGGGCGGCGCGTGGCAGCGCGTGAAACAAAAACATAACTAGATATATTTGGCCGGCGCGTGCGAATGAGAAAACTGCAAAGAATATTTTTTCGTTTGATCATTTCATTACTTTGTGCAGTGTAGTAATTAAAACCATATCATGGAAGACATGGAATCGAATTCCAGCGATGCTGATGAGAATCCATGGCCACATTTGACTGAATATGTAAAATTTGTATCGAGATCGGGGCAGCAAATACTTTTTGCATGTAAGCGATGCTTGCCGAAAGACACCAAAATAAAAGTTCATGTATCAAGCCTGAATAATTTAAAACAACATGTAAGAAGGGTACATGAGTCACAGTACGTACAGTTTGAAGAGATTGTTATGGCGGGCTCTAACCGGGGCAAGACAAAAAGCAAAACTCGTTCTAACAGTGCTAACACAAGTAGCCCTAATCCTGTTAAAAGAAAAATACACCAGGGACGACAGCTGACCGTCGGGGAATCATTCGGGATTGCAGCTACTGACAGTGGCAAAAATGTAATTATACACTTGTTAACGGATTAACGATTAACATTAACTTGTGTTAATTCTTCCGAAATGTAACGCTTTAACGTTTAACGCAGCTAACTTTTTTGTAGCGGATTAACGATTAACGTAGTTAACTAGGTATTTGATTAACGGTGCCCAGCTATGCCTACTTGTAACCGTTAGTTATACATATGTATAATGTCATATTATATTTCCATATAAACGTCCGTTGCCCGTGTTACCGTTTAAATATAAAGTTTATAAAAATAACGTTAGGTACTTAATAGCACAAAATGTCATAACAAAAACTTAATACCTACTCATAATAGCCCTGTTTGACATAAGTACTTGGCATTAATGGCTGATGGCTATCGATTATACCACAGAACATATAAAGTTATATGTTCTGTGGATTATACTTTTATGCTCTTTTCTGTCGATATTTCATAAAGAAACGAATCCAAACAAATGTTCATATACCTAAGTACCTAATTCATTTTTTTTTTGTTACAGCCACCAAATATAGACATTCTAAAAAGAAAAATGGTTGCAACTCCGATGCAAGTTGTGGTTAAACCAACAGATTATTATACCGAAACTGATAGAATTACAACGAGAAATAATCCTGAGGACGAGTTTGATAGTTTTGGGAAATACATAGCCACTGCTTTAAGGTCTATGCCTCCGGAGTTTGCAATAATAGCAAAAACTGAAGTTCAAAAAACATTATCTGAAATCCAATTAAAGATACTTAGGGAAATGCCTGCTGGTGGTAGTATCATTCATCAACAGCAACATATTCAACCACCAGCTCATGAAGTACCGAATATAAGCGAAAACGATGATCAAAATGCAGAATGCACAAGTCCTATTCCTGATTCTTGTTATCCTCGTTTAATTAAAGTAGAAACGCTAACTGATAATAAACTGTAAACTTGTGTAGACCTACACGGTTCTGGAAGTCTCAAATTTCTACCAAAGAAGGGGGAAAAGCTCCAAGCCCTTAAAGATAAAAGAGGCAGAATCTAACCTTTGTATGAACATGAGAAGCATATTTTGAAACCTAATTTTGATACATTTATACTATTACCTACTGCATAAGTGAATATGTTTCGTTTATGAGAAAATAAAATTAAAAATCTTAAAATATAATTATTATTAATCGACTTCAAAGAAGGAGGTTCGCAATTTTCCCTAAATAAATGTATGTTAGTGTGTGATTATCACGCGACGAGCGATACCAATTTTGATGCAGTTTTCAGAAAAATGTTTGTTACACCTTTTTTTTTTTTATGGGGGGAAAATCATCCAATGACATCTCCCGCCTGGGTGAGGCGGGAGGGAGTGTCAGACTCTTACTGACTAAAAACCACCCCGTTCCTACACCTGCACTTCGAACCGGAGCCCCGGCAACCCGTTAAGTCTTCCGCGGCTCCGTATCGGCATCAGCCTTGTTAGGCCCCATCTGTGGTGGTCTGATGGCTCCTTGAGGCGCGCGCGGAACGCGACGCGCCGTACGCACGGGCCTGATTCTGGTCGGGCGGCGAGTCACCCATGCTCGCCGTCCGCAGGCCCGTGCTTACGGTGGCCGGAGATCGTCTCGCGATCCCCGACGCCCGGAGTGTCTCTCGCGACGGCCGGGTCGTGAGGAGGTTCGTTCCCTCACGCGCTCCGCCTCCTCCTTAGCTAGCATGACTGCTTCGCAGAAGGAGGAGACGGCATCCCAGTCCCCCTCGCTCCGTACCATGGTCTGAACCAGAGCCGGACGCGAGAGGTCGCCGTCGCCGATCATGTTTGTTACACCTAGGAAAAGGTTTTAATATAGGCAGGTTAATTAACTTTTGACTTCAAACCTAACCTTGGACCTTCAGTAACCTCACTCACACGACAAAACATAACGGAAGGAAGCGTTGTTTCACGTCGTTGTTTTGTGAGGCCATGGTATCACTCTGGTCAAGCCGGCCCATTCATGCCGAAGCCTGAGTCTCCAATACTTGCCTTGGCAAGTATGATGGATATCGACGATAAAAATTCCAATCAAATCATGGCCAATGGTTACCGTCCGTCATTGTGACATATTCAAATTTGACATTGGCTAGCTGTCACTTTTAATAATAATTACATCTTCCAATAGCCCAGCTGAAATAAATTCTATATCTTTTTCGATTTATTTATTTTATTAAATACTGTTATCAGTGTGAGATTGACTCACTTTCATATTGATTTATCACTAAATAACTGGAAAATGAAAGATACCCAGCGTTAATCTTTACATTTATAATAAAACTATGAGGAAAGAAGATAGTGCTTGATGCCGGAATTATATATAAACAAACAAGAACTTATTCGGAAACACAATAATGAAATTGAAAAAGGTTTGTAAATATTTTAAATATTTGTGTATTATGTAATTTTAATTCCCCACTATAAACCGATTAAATGCGATGCAAACTCAGAGGGAATACGTACTATAAAAAATAACAGACTATTTTTATAAAAATGCATTACTTTCATCTAAAAATCTGTTGTAAGCAAAGTGGAAAGAATAATTATTATGTTCAAGATGAAGATGAATCCATGTTTAGAAAGTTTTAATATGTTTAGTCTTTCCACTTTGTTTAAAGTGCAAAGAGTTCCTTAAGTTAAAAAGTGTGTGTCATAAATTTTAAATAATATTATTGTTTAACTTATAGATTCTAACTTAGCATAGTCAAGTTTAAAATACCTAGATACAGAGATATTTTTCCTTTAACCCGTGGTGTGTCTTAATGTGGATCGATGCAAGATACAATGTATTTTCTATTGAGTCTTATAACGGTGCATACAAGCTGTTAAAGAAATAAAATCATTTATCAAACATTTTGATGACAACCCTAACTTAAATTTTTTTTTTGTATGTTTATTTGCAATCGGTCTCTTGACCACGAGCAAATTTTTGGATGCCATTTGACTTGTAGACGAATCTCTCCATTAAGAGATCAGTCTCTTATTTAACTTACGTATAGGTACAGCTATACAGCTACACTCGCAGATGCAGTCCACCCCTAAATGGCTCATTATGGGAATAATATTGTCAGCAAAATGTTTTCACTCTAATTTAAAACATTATTTAACTTTTATCTTACTTGCTTGCGGTGCAACGAATTTGTAACATCATATACTTTTGTATACTGAACTAATTATTTTATATTTATGACACACGCTGAATATAAATGTGGATTAAAACACCATTGTATATTCTTATTACTGAATAATTGAAGAAATGTGTACATTACTTAAATACTTATTACAGTTACATAATAAAAATGAAAAGTAATTAATATTATATGTATTGCACTGTAATTAAGATGTGCATGTTTGTTTACTACAAGTTGGCTGGTGACAGGCTCCGTGGCAGTGGGTTGCGTCACCACTCGGCTTCAACATGCTACTCTCTATGTTCAAAGATAATATACCAGCTGTGGAAAAATATATGGAGGTAATACGACATTCATTTAAATAACTATATTGACGAAGTAGCTGTAACTTGAAATAACTTTTGCATAAGACATACATTATTTGCTTTTAACTGCGGCAACAGATACAGATAAACGACTGCCTTGTTGGCCGAGTGAAGTGGTCTCGAGTTAGATTTCGAGCAAAGTATTACTGTGTAGTAGCCGTAGCAAGGAGTCTGGAATTGTACCCGGTATATGGCAATAGGCTCACCCCCTATTACATGGAACTCATAACTTAAATAGTGAAAAGTGAGTGTTACGTTGCACAATGGCATTAAGTACCATAATGTGCACCCATGCCTACCCCTTTGGGGATAAAAGGCTTGTTATGTTATGTTATAAAAAGTAACCTATGTGTTTTTCCAGCGCCCTCTATGTACCCCTGTGCCAAATTTCATACCGATCCCTTCAGCGGTTTTGACATGATTAAGTAACAAAAATACATATTATAAATCTCCAAATTTTCCCATTTGCAATGTAGCCTAAGTGAAAAAGATGATGTTTAGCTACAAGATTCTTTTACATTAGCATCTTCATTTCAGCCATAAGATGTCCACTATTAGACCATAGGCCCTGCCCAATAACCACCTTATCGGACCTCCACACCTTCCTGCAACCTTACATTTATATGTCAACATTAAAATAAATATAAATAACATTTTGACATTTACTAACTGCAGTTGTAGCCAAATGTCATTTAGCGCTTGTCTACATGTAGAATAGAAAACCAAATGATTTGAAATTCTATGGAATTGATGTAAATTTTGACACTTGTCAGTGTCGTCCCCATTCCCCATACATTTTTATTTCTACTCTCTCTGTAGACAAGCGCTAAAGTGGCGTTTGGCTAGAGGCCCTGACTACCTTGAGAAGTAAAAAAAAATATTTTGATTCCAGGTAGCTAAGAGTTTAGAAAGTGTAGACGGATGTAATATAAAAAGAAGGATATTTAGTTCATTGACCAGTTCACATCCTGCTTTGGATTTATCACAATTTAAAGATATTGAGAAGGCGGACTTTAAAAAAAATGACAACGCATTCACAGTCTATGTAAGTATTATTAAATTCAAATCACTATTTGATGTTCTTATAATTAAACTAGCCACTCCCGTGCGGGAAACCGTGCGGGGAATCCGTGCGGTAGTACTTATCTATTTTTTTGTATGTAGAGCGGATGAAAACCCGCTCTACTCGGCTCTTACTCGGGTCGTAGCGTGATGTTTTATACCTACAGCTTTCCTTAATAAACAGACTATACACCACAAAAAGAATTATTCAATTGAAACCAGTAGTTTCGGAGATAATCACGTTCAAACAAATATACTTTTCATATTTATATAATAGTATAAAATTGTTACTTCAAGTTGTTTAATAATTAATTTCAGTTGAACAGATATGGACCATTGAGATATCATGAGTATTCTTCAAAAACTGAATTCATATTTACTAGTGTCTGCACATTTCAGGTAAGTTAGTTTTGTATTATGTTAAATTCAATAGGGTAGTTTCCTAAATTTTGTTTTGTTGACTATCTGGTTAATTAATTTAAAACATTAGACACGTATTTTTTCTTTTTTTCACAAAATTATATACTTTCGAGGATATATTCATTTAAACTGTCAAACACCAAGCGGTCACCGGTGACCGCGAGCGCGACCTATTGTTCTTTAATTGTGTCTATAAAACCGGTACTCGACGAGTTAAAATATCGTGTGACGTTACAACGTGCTACATTTTATAGCACTTTTACGTTATGTTATGACCGACGACGAGTATTGCAACTTTATACGGAGAAAATAATAAAATACCTACGTGTCTAATATTTCTCATTATGTAACTGACGGACTAATTACATTTTAATTTTCATACACAGGAAACTACCCTATTGCCTAATTTCTGTCTCTTTCTGTCTGCTGTACTAACAAGAGATCTTGACCTTACTCAAAATATTAGTTCCGAAACATTCAATTATTTTCGATATATATATATAAATACCAGGAACTATAACGAACTCTGGAATTGCGTATAGTTGTTAGTTTGCCCCATATTATTGGCGCTTATGACTGCATGGTTGTCACAGTGGTTGGGTGATCTACTGAGCAACGTGTTGCGGGTTCGATTTCGATAACGGCCTTTTCTGAGTAAGATGACCATTATTTACCAGGTGTCAGAAATTTTGGCTGAGTTTATAACCCCGTGCCTCGGCAAGCAAGTCAAATTGTTGGTCCTACGTCTATACTCTCTGGTCGTGTCGGTCTGCCGTCCCATCCCAGTGAGGGAACAGAGAGTACACCCTGTGTTTGCGCAAACACTTTTTTTTTTAAATAAACGTTGCCCCGCACTAGGATTTTCTCCTGTGTCGTGGGTGCGTTTACAAACATACAAGTTCACATACACATTACACCCAGACCCGGAACAACAATCTGTGAATCACAAAAAGAGTTGTTCCGTGCGGAAATCGAATCCGCGACACGTTGCGCGGCAGTCAGTTGCCTAACCGTGCAGTCAAACACACTTGTCCACTATAGTATCTCCTGCGTAGTGGGCCACCATGGTCAAAATCGATAGAGAGCTCAATTTATTTATATAAAAATGAAATGCATTATTTATTTTTGTCATTTCAGAGCACTTGGCCATCGGAGCCTAACACTGGTTTCATGAAGTTGTACAATTCATTTAATTACACACAAGACGTCAACTATGAGGGTAAAGTAAGTTATTTTATCATTTTGGTGTAAGTAGAGCTTGTAGTATATTGTAACTTGAGTAGATACGCCATCATTAGTAGTAAGTTTTTACAGACAGGCTCTAATGTACGCCATACACGCTACGGTCTAGCGGACAGGTTATCTGTGCAGGTATGCCTGCGTAGGTAGTCCGAACTAGCGTATATGGGGACGTTCCTGTGTACCGGAGCGGTCTTCAGTTCTTTTTACAATGACGTACGGTGCTACTCGAAAGAATTAATTTTCGATTCTGTTCCGGTCGCCTGCGCAGGCTCAAAAACTGCACAGGTCTATTCCCACACACGTTACGGTCTACCTGCGCAGGCAAATCTGCACATGTGGACCTTTTCGGTACACCGTAGCGTGTATGGTAGCCATAAGATGGACAAAAGTTATTGAGATTTTGAAACTTAGTACAAACATTTAGAACTCTGATATCATATAATATAATTCTGACATCATCTTATATAATTCCTCTTATAATAAAAAAAAGAGTTATCTCTTATTGTAAAAAGGGTAACCTATGGAGTTTCTTGCTCGTTCTTCTCCATAGGAATCTACACTTTGGAACGAGCAAATAGCTTCACTAGAGGACTCATCTACAGACTATAATTTTTTTTCTATTTAAATATTTTGTTTTTTACGTTCAAAAGTGCCTTCGTGGGCTAATTGAAATAAATAATTTTGACTTTGACTTTAAACTTTATCAAATCAAATCATTTTTTTTTATGGCATAAGCCGGTAAACAGCAGGTAAGTAATCGGCGTCGCCCATGGACACCTGGAACAGCGTTACAAGTGCGTTACCGGCCTTTTGGGGATTAGGAATTTGAGGATTATTGGGGATTCAGAGATTGGGGAGATCGAGGAAGGGGAGGATAATTGGGCCTCCGGTAACCTCACTCACACGACGAAACACAACGCAAGCGTTGCTTCACGTCGGTTTTCTGTGAGGCCGTGGTATCACTCCGATCGAGCCGGCCCATTCGTGCCGAAGCATAGTTCTCCCACAGTGAACTCATTGCTCAAATACAATATACAATAACATGTAACATAGCGGGTAGCAGTAAAAAAGTTTGAGACATGTTTGCCGTATACAAACTTCTTAAATATTGGTAAAATAAAATAAAACCTTAAAAACTTGGTACCCTTTTTTATGAGTTGATAATTTCCTTCCAGCTCTTAGAGTTACCTCTTCAGACTGAAGGTTTCAAGTTGGTGTTAGTATTACCCAATGAAAGTGCTATAATGAAGGATTTATTCTCAACATTGTCTAATTACGGCCTTGCTGCAGCCATCAAAAGCATACAGCCGCTATTTACTGGGAAGACGGAGCTCATAATGCCTTTTAGTATTGACATCACATCCAGAATAGAACTAGAAAATGTAAGTTTAAATATTTTATTCCTTACTAGCTATTCCCGCGCGATTTCAGCCACTCTTCTCGGCTCCTGATGTTTCATATGGTCTTCCTCTGAAAGTGGACTATTTTATTTATTTATTTGAATAGAACCGTACTAACACCAATTACACTACTCAATACACATACTGTTAAAAGTAAAAATGTAATAAAATACAAAATTATATATCGCATTACTAGTATAAATACTAGTAATGCGATATTAGTTTTTTAGTATTAGTAAACTAAATTATTATATTAACTGCCTCATTGGCCAAGCGGTCGCAAGTTCCGATTCCCGGGTCAGGCAAAGTATTGCTGGGTTTTCAAAAAATTCTCACGTAGTCTGGAAGTATACCCGGTATATGGCAATAGGCTCACCCCCCTATTACATGGGATTCATAACATAAATAGTGAAAAGTGGGTGTTACATTATACAGCGGCATTAAGTGGCGAAATGCGCACCTCTGCCTATCACCTCGGGGATAAAAAAGGCTTGATGTTATGTTTTCAGTAGATTTTGTTGTTAAATTATGTTTATGTTGTAATTTCAGACAAAACACGGCTCACCGATACAATATGGTACTGTAGCCGTATCAGACAAAGGCGCGCATGTCAAGGTACTTACTTGTAAGTATTATATCTATTTATTAATATATATCCAGGGCCGTACTTAACGCAAGGGGCCCGGCACGTGGCCCCTGACCGTCTTGAAGTTGAAAGCGTGAAGTAGAGTAAGAACAACGTAAGATTATTGGAGGCTTGACGTCACAGCTACTCTGAAGTATAATTGGTCCCAGGGTCGGCTTTGGGGGCCCGCAGAACTAAAGCCCTGTTCTTGATTGCTATAAGCCTAGTCAAGCGGTACATGATGCATACTGTTGTAACTAGAGGTCCCGTTTGTCTTAACCCGTCGAGCGTCCGCGTTCCTTATGATCCAACGGGTACACACGTGACATTTAGAGAAAGAAAGAAAGAAAGAAAATGCATTTATTTGGCCATTGGCACACGAAAATAAGGATCATTACAATAGAAATAAAAAATACAGTCATAATAAAAACAAAACATTAATAATAGATTTTATAAAAGAGAAAGCAGCATGGAGCATTTTTTCTTATGATCCGCCGGGTGCTCATAAGGACGCTCGAGGGGTTAAATACGTCTAATTCGAATATTTCATTTCGACTCCGAAATCGATTCCCTAAATCAAGTTGTGTTTATTGCAGGCTTGTATTCACCTGCGGGCGCAATATCAAGCAACGAGGCTGTGACGCCATTACAAGCTAGCGAGCCGCGGCCGCCGCCGCCATTTTATTTCGCAATAGTTTACAACGACACGCCCATATTCTACGGAGATTTTAGTAAACCTATAATACGCGCATCGCTATTGAAGATTAAGAAATCAAAAGACAGATAGTGTAAAAATGATTTATAGATTTGGAATCAGCTGTTATGAAGACCTATCTTTGCAGTAAATAAGTGTTTTTTTATTTGTTATACATGTTTTTATAAAATGTACATTGTTCATATTCAAATTGAACTTGTATAGTTTCTGGGTGGTCCCAGAAATTATTATAGGCGCACCACAATATTATACCTATGTATATGATTATATTTTGTTATTTTTTTTATTAAAGTGATTTGTGCATAATTTTTCTTATCCATTTAATGATTTTTATAATTACTGTGATAATGTGACATCCTAAATATCAATCAGTGGAAAATTCTTACGAAGTTTCTTCACCGTACTAGAAAATATGAGGTTTTCAATCTATTCCAGGCCTTCTTGAACTTACGAACTACTATTTTGACCTGCACAGCACATTACTGCACTCAAAAAAATACATGGTTTCTTTAGATGGTTAGTTCTTTAATTTTCTTATTTTACAGTCTACGATACACATTTGACGCCTCACGTTACGGTTTGAAACTCGCTCAAATTGATATCATCTTGGATATTTTCAGCCGTTGGTTGCTTTTCCACGTTCCCAGAACTTGGTTCCTTGAAAATGCTTCCTAGATTTATATTACTGTCAAATGTGCGTCGGCCTTTCGTGTCTATGAAGTCAGGCGATGAACGTAGTGTCTTAGATTTCGTAGCGTTTTTTTCTTCCTTCAAATCTTTGTATAGTTCATCGTATCCTAAAACTAGAGGTGGTAGCACGACCAGGCTCGCTGTTCGTTCTTTTGTTTCGATCTGAAACCATGTTTAAATTATACCATCATGATAATCTATGTCATCAGTAATCTGGGTATTATCAATAAATATTTTAAGTGTTTTTAATAAGGAGACTCCTTACTTGCTAGTTGAGTTATCTTACTTAATATAATTGTGTGTTTGTATGTAAGTTTGTTACTCAGTCACGGCTGAAGGGATTGGTATGAAATTTGAGACAAGGATATCAATCCTTGTGTTAATTTAAATTTACGGCTCTTTTTATCCCAAGGGACGCAGGCAGAAATTACTATTTTTAAATACATATCTTGCCGTGCATACATTTATCTGTATTTAGGTATTCGGGATTATAAAAAATCTTAATCACGATTCAAAATTCCGTGTATTATACTGAAAATTATTTCCATAGCACCAAGCAAGACTACAATCGGTCCCTAAAAATAATAATTATGGAATATTATTTACATATCACTTACCACGGCTATGGAAACAACTAAAGCAACTAAAATCGCCAATAAAGACATGTTGCATAATCTTTGAAAGTATTTTACATTATCAACTTTATCGTGAATCGTAAATTTTCAATTTATTTTAAGAATACGGTACATTATTAAGTTAGCACACGTTTTATTTCCATCATAAATAATTCGTGAATGAGGAAATCCAGTGTGTAATCAATAAGTGACTGGAACTGTTAAGCGTACCTAATATCTGTTACCCAATTAGAACCAAATCAGTGCGCGAAGCAATCAATAACGGTCTGATTAAATCTAGAATTGTGTAGCTGTGAAGGCTAAAGTTGTTAAACCACAACAGTAGTCATTTATAGGGTCAATACTAATAGCATTGATTTATAATTTTTATAGTAAAACTTGCAATTGTGCGTGAATAGAATATTCCCTATTACATGAACTCATACATGAACCTACCAATGGCAAGTACCAATGTGACTTCCGAGTTATATGTACTTTCTAAGATTATGCAGACACCACTGACAAACGGTAAAGGAAAACATCGTAAGGTAACCTGGGCTTATAATTTCTAATTATAAGCTTGTAATCGCCAACTCGCATTGAACAAGCGTGGTGACTAATGCTCAAACCTTCTCCGTGTGAGAAGAGGCTTTGCTCAGCAGTGGGCATTTATTGGATGTTGATGAAAATGATGAAAATTGATATTAAATAGGTGTACTTTGTGTGCATTTCGTAACATAAAGTAAGATGAAAGGTAAATGTATATATACCGAAAACTTTAGACTTCATCGGGTGCAAATTGGTCGTCGTCAATTTGATCTGAAGCTGCAACTTCCACTTCAGCTTGAGGTACAGAACCTTGCAGGCGAGTTAGTTCAGCTCCAGCTTCGCGAAGTAACTCAAGTAGAGTAGCCAGAGAACTTGCTAGCTGCAGATATAAAATTGATCATTATTACCCGAAAATAGATGTTATTGGTGGTTCCTGGATTCAGGCTTCAAGAGATGATATCATAGAAGAGATATAACCTGAGCATCTGGCCTTTCCTCTCTCTGCAGCAATTCAGCAGTGACTTCAGCTTCCTCTACAGCTTCAGTCAGTCGTCCAGCTCTGGCGTGTCTGCCAGCTATATTGAGGCGAATAAGAGGATCGTCATTCGCCAGCGCCACCGCCCTTGAATACGCTGCATCAGCCCGACTGTCTCCTAGACGTTCTAGGGCTATGCCTATTAGCAGTACCTGTGTATATTACAGTCTTGTTATGAGCTAGTCGATAGATTTTCCATCAGAACAGACAAAGCGCACTTGTCTGTTTAAAATCATAGAAAAAATATTTTATTCATTAAGAACTTGATTTTTTTTACCGTATATGGTTGAAAAGGCTGCAACGCTGCCGCTGTGGCGAGCCTGCAAAATGCTGAAGCTGGTCTCTTACATACGAGGAGTGCTACTCCGAGGTCATGCGCGGCACGGGCGCTCAACGGCGCAGCCCATGAAGCACGCTGCAGGCAAGTCAAAGCCTATAAAAGAAAACACAACTATGTCTAAAATTGTATATAGATCAATATTTTCTAAACTAAAATTCTGGAAATACGTAGGTGTGCACTGTTATCAATTACGTTAATTTGAAAATGTATTATAATCCTGTCATGTACTTACAGCAATATACTTCTTTTTGGCTAACAAAGCCATTCCGAGATTGGCGTGAGCAGCCACGCACGTAGGATGAGCAGTTAAAGCACCTTTGAGCCTCGCTAGGGCAGCATCAACATCTTTGTGCTGTAGCATCATGGCCGCCAAAGCCAGGGCTGCTGCATGCTGAGTGGGCTGCTGAGCCAAAGCTGCACCGAGCAACTGGAAGGCGCGTCGAGGATCACCCGCTCGGAGGCGTAAAGCACCAGCGGCTGCTAAAGTATCCGCTCCACATGCGTGCATACTATTTAAATTATGTCAATGTTAAAATTTACAGACATAGGTATCATTATTTTAGTTAGAAACCTGTCTACTGTATTTTTCTATAGTTTCACATCGCAGCTGCCTAAAAAAGGTATATTGATCACTACCAAATGTAAATTAATGGTGCAACTAACGTTAAAGCTTGGTCGTAAGCTGACAATGCGCCGGGTATATCATCACAAGCTAGAAGTATTTTTGCTAGCAGCGCGGCCGCTCTCTCCCCACCCCCTGCTTGCACCGCCGATCGTGCCCATTCCACTCCTCTTCCTAGCTCACCCAAGTTCCACGAACATTCCGCTGAAATGAAAGTGGAAGAAAGTATGAAATTAAAGAATAAAAATCGAAGTCGCTAAACAAAATTCCTTTCCACTCTGCCCAGTTATCGGGCCCCAGAGTCGATTGCCACCTGGGCCCATCCGTCCTAGTCCGACCCTGGACCCTGGTACCTATGAAGACGTGTTGTGTAGTTTACCTAATGCGCAATAAATATCGGGATCAGGATGTTTCGTCAGCTTATCAGCTTCTAAATAGGCTTCATGTGATAACTGGAAACGATGCTGTCGTGATCTGCAATTACACAAAATATCAAACGGTAAGTAAGTACCTACCTAGGTAGTACATAAATATTAAGCTGAAATGAACATAATATGATATGATATCGATTTGTATCTACAAAATGATAAAACAAAAATACGAATTTGTCAACGATTATTCGATTAACGATTGATGAAGTGAACATCTATACTTACAAACATTTTGCGACTTGTTTCAAAGGTTCTGGGTCTTGAGGTTGAAGTCTTAGACAACTGTGATATCTTTCCAGAGCTTCTTGCAATCTACCAGCGTCTGCCAAAACAGCCCCCTGTGTAGGAACATAATTCATTAAATCATTTTATAGAATAGACAAAAAAATTTCTTTGGCAGTATTAGGTACCACCAAATAAAAAAACAAAAGTAGGTACGGTAAAACGGGGTGAATAGAATTCGAGGGGTAAATAAATATTGGGAAAATATTCTAACATTTATTCACCCCATTCCTGTATCTATTCACCCCTCGAATTCTATTCACCCCGTTTTACGGTATGATCGTTCATTTTAAGTCTACTACCTTAGTCTGTAGGTACAGTTATAATCGCAGGTCTGTGTAGATAGTTATGGTTCTATCTTTAAAGGTTCAAATAGGACCTTGACCTTCTGATAGGATAGTTTAATCTTTTGCGTAAATGACTTGTAGGTTCACTTTTATTTTAGTACCTTTATGTAATGAGCATATCTATGTTTATTATCGTGTTTTTTCTGCAGATCATCGGCGAGGTCAAGGCACAATGAGTGCTCTCCTCTGACGTAGCGCGCGTGGAGTAACCAGTTGAGGGATCCGCTATTGAAACCTAGGGAGGATAGTCCATTTTTAGAAAAATTTAATCAAATATAATTGCTCCATAAACTATGCCTAGATACTTATAATCTTGGTACTTGACGGTAGTGAAAAAATATATCCAAAGTTACTTGCGTCAAATCTAGGTAGTTACCGAATATTTATTTGTTTTCAGCATTAAAATTTGCTCTTGCAGTGAGTGACTCATCATACCGGACCGGACCAATTTACTTGGTCTGTTCTAGGCGGTTCGGTAATTTGAAGCACACTTTGGTGAATGATCATTGGGTGAATTACGACAATGTATAAGAAATAAATATAAAATTACCATCAGAACTATTTTCTATGGAGAATTTCCTTCGTTTCGTTGCAGTATTGTTTGTTTGTACCATTACCGCCATGGTTGCTGTGGCAATAGAAGTATATATACCTACCCAATACATAGGTACGCATTCATACTATTTATCATCTTTGCTATTTCTTCATCGGAACCTTACCGAAACTCTTATTCCTTGTATACAAATAAATAAGTACCGTACCTACATAGTTTTTTTTTGAATCGCTTAAGCTCGTTGTGCTCTTGGTAGATATAGGTACCTAATAATGTAAGGGACCAACTTTTCTTTAGCTTTACACCTTTACATTACCTACGATGATAAAATTAATATTGTTACCGTTATTATAGCTATTATGAAAACAAATATAATTTTAATAACTGAAAAAAAAATGTATTCCGAGACGAATATAATAATTTCATGTTTCCGAACGACTGAAAATGACAAATCAAAATTTGACAAGTGTATTTTGCAATGATCCAGTTCGTAAATACTACGTTTTTAAATCATTATTGTAAAATATAAGCTTCTTAAAGCAATAATAACAAATTTAAACGAAAATGGAGGATATGGCAAGGCTAGCTGTGATAGAACAAAGTGTTCGAGATGTAGATAAGTTTAATAAAATTCTGTACGAACTTCTGCAATATATTAGTCATATTTTAGAAAATCCTCACGATAATGAACTGAGAACAATAAAGAGCGAGATTCTTAAAGATGTGTTAAACTGTGACGCTTTCAAAGAGTACTTGAAATATGTCGGATTTAAACCGGTAAGTACGAATATAAATTAAACAAGTGTTACGCGTTTCTGAAGGGAAACCATTCAATTTCTGTTCATAATTAGACTACTTACAATCTGCCAACCTCATATTCGCAATTCGATTTCTATATAGAATATTAAAAACACGAATATATTCAAGTGCACGTCATCATATCCTATTGTTATCTTAGATTTACTGATAACACTAATGTCACCTAGAAATCACGGGCCCGGTGCCGGTAATTGTAAGTGATGACTGAATTAAAACGAGTCCTATGCAAAAAGGTTTGAGTAAGGTTTCCAGATTCCACATTCCAAAATTCTAGACTTGCATTTTGTTATTGAGAACATTTAACAAACCAATGTATACATACCTATGTATTCCAATAAGATTTTATTTATTTATTTACTTGGTTAACCAATAGTTAACATTCACACAGTCGGTTCAATAAACATTTACACTTAAACATTCTTGATAACATTCTTTGGTGAATGTACCTAACAAGTACTTACTAGCTAACACAGAAAATGGTTAGATTATTAAACTTTAAAATTGTGACAGTTGCTCCAGCTTCCACGATCTAATATCGTCTAAACCATACCTATATAAAAATATTTCTTATGCTACACGGTTTTAACTCGTTGAGTACCATATTTATAGACACAATTAAAGAACAATAGGTTGCGGTCACCGGTGACCGCACGGTGTTTGACAGTTTAATGAGCTCTATTTCTAACAATCAAGCCTTTACGTTTGATATCCATAATGGAGTATTTTGATATCCATAGTTGATATATCATACCCAAAATTATATATATATACCCATAATACCCAAAGTAGTCTCTAAACATATGAAAATAAGGTCTATGATGGAGTAAGTCGAGAGTGGTCGGTCACTGGTGACCGCTTGGGGATTGAGCAGTTAACTCTTTCGCTTCATCAACAGTCATCAATGTTTTCATTTATGCTTGTCGGGTAAGGGTACTTTTAATTTGGCCAATCTGGTCAATATATGTCTGTCTAGGGCGACCTCTACCGATTGCCCTATTCATATCTGCTGTGTATACTTCTTTAGTTACTGTACTTTCATCCATCCTTTCTATATATATGTTTAAAAATATAAAATGTCATTGTAGGAGGGAACAGAAGTAATTTACCCGAAGGAGCAGACATTAAACAACTTGAGGATGGCTCAGGCATCAATAGAGAGGAAGTTATGTTTCTGTTACGGAGCCGTGAACAGGCAGAAGAGAGTCAAGTTTAGTCAGAAGAAGACTAGTTTGAAACCGACTAAGATTCTGGTAGAGTATGTTGTTATTATTGCTTTTTTTTGGATCATTATTATAATACTAGCTTTTGCCCGCGGCTTCGCTCGCGTCACAAAAGGATAAAAAGTAGTTTATGTGACATATACCAATACACACAGCGCCATCTACACCAATACTTTTGTTTTCCCTGGGGAATGTCAAATTTTTCCGGGATAAAAAGTACCCTATTATTTAATCCGGACTTCTAACTTTATGTCTGCAAAAATTCAAAGCAATCGGTTTAGTAGTTACGGTGTGAAGGCGGAACAAACAAACAAACAAACTCACTTTCCGATTTATAATATTAGTAAGGAAGTAAGGATTGGCTTTGGTATCTTTACTCTTTAGTTTGTTGAGACAAATTCTTATAAGGAAAACTGTTTATTATACTTAAAACTTAATTACCTACTAATGAAGAGAAGAAATACTTAAACTTACGTAGGTACCTTGAGACCAAATTGAAAGGATAACCGCTTATTACGCTACGAGTGCCACGACACATGTCTGCGACAACAATACAAGAAGTCAAGAACACACAAATAGAACTTCATGATGCATCGCAGCGCTAAAGGCGGGAGCTCGGCTTAACGCTATGGCCCGGGCGCGAACGCTCGAGTCCACAGCGCTAATTTTCAGTACGTCCTCCCACCAGATGGCGCCAGCGTCCACCCCTCGTTCTTCGTCCAATAGGGAATAAGCTAGTGTCAAGCCATTGGACGTTCAGTATTTGACAGCTGCCGTGATTGGACAAAAAATAATAATAATGTACTAATTGTTTGGTTGCTAACAAATTTTAAATCACCTATTTGTATTGCAGACAACAAATAACAGTCTACTATTAAAAATAGAGAGGTTGTTCAATGATGTCCTAGCGTATGAGGACGAGGATCTCCAGGAGTATGCACGGGAACAGATACCGATAGTCACACTCCAGCTGTTGGCGCTAGAGCGGGTACGGGAGAATCAGAAGTTAATTAAAACTGGTAAGAATACTAATGACTTTAATAAATGATGAAATGTACTATTCAAAATGTATTATTCACCCTTTGGGGACATCCATAAATTACGTCACAACTTAAGGAGGAGGGAGGGGGTCGACTAAGTGTGACATTGTGTGACAAGGGGGAGGGATCTAAAACTTAGTGATGTCACATTTCAAAAACTATTATAATTTGTTTTTAAATACGAAATAATATAATTGTATTAATGTTTTTATTTTGTTAATTGTTCGATTTCACTCTTTTTTTTTTAATTTAATTTTTTTTTAATTAATATAAGTGGTATTAAACTGTCAAATACCAAGCGGTCACCGGTGACCGCGACCTATTGTTCTTTAATTGTGTCTATAAAACCGGTACTCGACGAGTTAATTAATAGTTAGTTTTTAATTTAAGTTTTTTATTTGAATAAATGATTAAGTCTTAAGAATCAAAAAAAAAAATATAAGTGGAAATAAAAATAACAATAGTTTCTATAATTCTGCAAAATGTGACGTCACACTGGGGTGGGGGCAAAAAAATCATGAAATTCGTGTGACGTCATTTATGGATGACCCCTTTGCTTACACTGGTAAGCAAACTTATAACTGTATAAGTAAGTCAAATTACTTGAATCCCCAACAATCCTCAAATTCCTAATCCTCAAAAGGGCCGGCAACACATTTGTAACGCCTCTAGTGTTTCGAATGTCCATGGGCATCGCCGATAGCTTACCTTCAGATGACTCGTCCGTACCTACGTTTACCAGTTTATCTCATTAAAAAGTCCCATGTAATATAGGACAGACATATGATATAGATTTCAATAGAATCAATACAAAGATTTTTCAAATAACCCAATTACCCTACTCAGTACCTAATCGACCCTTCGGCTCCCTCGCGGTCATTCACCAACAATAGTAGTCAATATTCTGTTCATGTTACCCAATTTGCCCAGTCCCCAAGCGGTCATTGGGGACCGCTCTTCACTAACTGTATTATAGACCTTATTTCCTATGTTTAAAGACTACTTTTGTATAAACAAATTTTAGGTACGATATATCAACGTACTAGCTTTTACCTGCGGCTTCGCTCGCGTCATAATACCAATACACACAGCGCCATCTATACCAATACTTTTGTTTTCCCCCGGGAATATCACATTTTTCCGGGATAAAAAGTACCCTATTATTTAATCCGGACTCATAACTGTACGTCTATAAAAATTCAAAGCAATCGGTTTAGTAGTTACGGCGTGAAAGCGGAACAAACAAACAAACGCACTTTCCGATTTATAATATTAGTAAGGAAGTAAGGATTAGATTCAGAAATACAAATATCTTCCAGGTGAACTCAAAGGTCTGGATCTACCGTTCGACATAGCTCTGCTGATGGAGCTGATGAGCTGGTTCAAGTACAAGTTCTTCAAGTGGGTGGACCAGCCCCCCTGCGAGGGGTGCGGGGGACAGACCTCCTTCAGTAACATACTCACCGTTACCACTGATAAGGAGACTTGTCGGATGGAGGTGAGTTATATGATGTTTATTTAGTAGACTGGCTATCTGGGCTTAAAAGTGTTTCGTAAAGTACTGTATAGAAATTCGGCAATGTACTGTTTGCTTAGAAAAGTCGTTAGTCCTATTCCCCCAAATATCTCTCCGGTCGTATTGTTACATTTTCACGGCTGCCGTTGTGGCAAGTGAATAATATCAAAATTAAAATAAAAATAAATACATATTTTAAGTTGCATTAATATCTACATAAATAAATAAGAGGATAAAAAACTGCAATACAAATGGAAATTTCGATTTTCGCACTATCATTTTCTTTGTGTGATCCACAATGAAAAAAAAATGTTTTTGTTTCATTGTAAGAGCAGGGGTACAGGCGGGGTGCAGAGTGAGTGAATACAACACAGGTTTTAGGAAATTTTATCCGAGTCTCAAGTCTCACTCCTATCATTATAATAATTATATTTCAATTTGATGCCTTTGACAGCCTCGTTGACCGAGTGGTCGCAAGTACAACTGCCGCGCAAGGGGTCTTGGTTTCGATTCCTGGGGTTCGATTACATGGGACTCATAACATACATAGTGAAAATTGGTGTTTGGCAGTGGCATTAAGTGCTGTAATGTGCACTTCTGCGGCTCTGTCTACCCCTTCGGAGTAAAAAGGCTGTTATGATATATGTGAGTCCCCCAGGTGTACAACTGCGTTGCGTGTCCGGTGGGCGCGAAGTTCGTGCGGTACAACGACCCGCGCACGTTGCTGCGCACGCGCCGCGGCCGCTGCGGCGAGTGGGCCAACTGCTTCGCGCTCATATGTCGCGCGCTCGGGTACGACACCAGGCTCATATACGACACTACCGACCATGTCTGGTGCGAGGTGAGTTCTACTCTATACTGTACTGTGTACGTGTGGGAGAGCCATGCTTCGGCACGAATGGGCCGGCTCGACCGGAGTGATACCACGGCCTCATAGAAAACCGACGTGAAGCAACGCTTGCGTTGTGTTTCGTGGTGTGAGTGAGGTTACCGGAGGCCCAATTACCCTCCCCTTCCCCAATCTCCCCAATCCTTGAACGGTCCTCAAACTCCTAATCCCCCAAAGGCCGGTAACGCACTTATAACGCCTCTGGTGTTCCGGGAGTCCATGGGTGACGCCGATTGCTTACCATCCGTCTGATCGTTTACCGGCTTATGCCATAAAAGAAAATGTGTTTAGAAGTGTTTTTCAACGTCCAAAATTCTGTGTTAGCGACCCATGTTAAATGTCCAAATCCAAATTCTTTGTGACCCATTTTTGGTGCGAGGTGATCTTTATGCTGTATATTTATAGAACTGTTTTTCTACGTTCAATAAGAATTCTATGACTTATGGAGTAACTCTGCTTGGTGCGATATGATTTTAGTCTTATTTTATGAGTGGTAAGAACTGTTTTTAGTATCCAACTATAGTTTTATAGAGATTAGATATAAGTTTCACGGTTGTGTGTGACATGGGTAAACCGAAAAAGCCATTTTTAAATAAAAATCACGAGTTACTCACGTGAAAATACAGAGAAAAGCTCTACTAGGGTAGGCTGCGCTACATCGCCGCGACGGCGCACACTGCTCATGAGGAAGAACCTCTCTATGGTTCGAAACCAGTAGAGCTTTTCTCAATATTTTCACGTAAGTAACCCGCGATTTTTAATTAATATAGTATGTCTCACGATAGTTATTATGAAAACAAAGCCATATTTTCCTGTTCCAGGATTCAAATTCCTTGCTCAGCATTTGCGCTGATGATAACTTGACATATCCTATTATTATTATTTAATCATCAACAATAAACAATTATGTCTCCAGATATTCGACTACGACTCCAACACATGGCTACACGCGGACCCTTGCGAGGCGAAACTGAACGCGCCCCTCCTGTACTCACACGGGTGGGGCAAGAAACTATGTTACGTCATAGCAGTATCCAGGGACGATGTACAAGACGTCACCTGGAGGTACACCAACGACCATAAAGCTGTAAGTTTCATAACATAACATCACGCCTTTTATCCCCGAAGGGCTAGGCAGAGGTGCACATTATGCCACTGTACAATGTAACACCCACTTTTCACATATTTATGTTACGAGTCCCATGTAATAGGGGGTGAGCCTATTGCCATATACTCGGCACAATTCCAGACTCCGTGCTACTACTGAGATTTTTAAAAAACCCCAGTAATACTTTGCCCGACTCGGGAATCAAACCTAAGACCCCTTGCCCGGCAGTCGCACTTGCGACCACTCGGCCAACGAATATATCATAAGAGGACTTCTGGATTATGGTCGCCTACTAAAAGAGGTTTTTGTCATTATCTCCACATTTCCCAAGCGGTTTGGAGAACGAAATTAAAAACCCAGTAATTCATCCCAAATCTCTTATCAGATTTTTTTATGATAACACAGTAAATAATACACAATACTGTGGGTGTCCATTGCGGCGCCTATTGTTTACCATCAGGTGATCCGTCTGCTCGTTTAGCCCCTGTGCTGTAATCAAATATCAAAAAGAGTTTGGAAAATCCTTACTAATATTATAAATCTGAAAGTGAGTTTGTTTGTTTGTTTGTTCCACCTTCACGCCGTAACTACTAAACCGATTGCTTTGAATTTTTGCAGACGTAAAGTTAGAAGTCCGGATTAAATAATAGGGTACTTTTTAACCCCGAAAAAATTGATATTCCCGAGGAAAAACAAAAGTATTGGTATAGATGGCCCTGTGTGTATTGGTATATGTCACATTGGCTACTTTTTATTCTTTTGTGACGCGAGCGAAGCCGCGGGTAAAAGCTAGTATTATTATATGGCATATTGTTGTTTTCTAGTTCGATATCTAGATGGACATTTCAAAATATCAGCCAGAACTGTATTGTCCCTAAAGGAAACTAGTGCCTAGTGTATTAGCTGTAGCCAAATGCCATTTAGCGCTTGTCTACATGTAGAACTAGCGGCCCGTCCCGGCTTCGCACGGGGGGACTTAAGATTTTTTACATAGTTTTACGTTTTATTTATATTTATTCTCAGTTTTTTTAGCGACCTGCCCTCCGTTGTCGATGTCGCATCTTAAGGTTACACTAGTCGATATTTTTTCCATAGAAAGTTCGGGGTGGTATTACTCCACAGTGTGAATTTGTATCTCCAAAATTAAACACGACAACGTTTTATCTTGTAATTACATTTGTCGGTACGGAAACAAAAATAAATAAAAAATAACGATTAAAAAGTTATGAGCCACCAAAGTTTTGTTTTTCATGACAATTTTGACGCAACTTTGGGTGTTAAAAAGTACCACTAATCGTGTAAAATCTCCAAAACGTAGACCGTACCGACACAGCACAATTACCAGAGAGTTCTATAAAATTTATTTCAAATTGATCTAAGCAGTGGTTTTTTCAAAAATCGCTATTTTCTAAAGCACTAAATCGTAGTTTTATACGCACTCGTTTTACGATGAATTATCGTGTATTTCATTTGATAAAATTCCCCCGGCAGCGGCGCGGGGCGGAGGGAAGACGCTCACGCATTTTTGCACAATTTTTTGCACGACAGCGTGTGTCGTGCAAACCATTAGACTATTTTCTATTGTTTTTAACCGACTTCAAAAAAGGAGGAGGTTATACGTTCGGCCGGTACCTATGTTGCTTTTTTTTTTTGTATGTATGTACGCGCATAACTCTGAGATGCGTGAAGCGATTTGCAAAATTTTTGTTTTGTTGGAAAGGGTATACTCCCAAGATGGTCCCATTTCCATGAGGTCAGGATCTGATGATGGGATCCTAGGGAAACCGAGGGGAACTTTCGAAAATTATATGGGCGAGTGATGCGTCTATTATGTTTTTCAATTAGGATTTTTAAACACTACAATTTGATAAGGGTCTGGAGTCGACCTGATGATGGAGCCGATAGACAGTCGAGGGAACTTCTCAGCGGTTTATACTAACTACCTTGTGTTTGGGCTTGATTAATTTGTATTGATGAGGACTTTACACCTAGATAGAGTAGGGCTGTCATTAAGGGTCTGATGATGAAGAAGTGTAATTGTTAAGGGAACTCCTCAACGGTATACTGTAACTACCTTGTGTTTAGGCTTGTATAATTTGTATTGATTAGAACTTTGCACCTATGTAGATTATAAGTAACAAAACGGGTATATGTAGCTTTACACTGAAAATGATAAAATAATAAAATAAAAACTGCGTTTAAAAAACTGACTTCAAAAAACCAAAAACTAATAACAAACAAAATGTCTAAACTAAAAAGCAAAAAATAACTATTATTAGTATTGATAGATATGAATGTCTACATAGAAATAAACATAACTGCAGTTGTAATAAATTAGACTATGTACACAAATTCAAATACCTAGGCCTAACAATAGATACAAATTTCAACTGGAAATTGCATGTTAACGACATTTGTAATAGACTAAGATCTGTATTAAGTAAGTTGTATCAATTAAAAAATGTACTGAACAAAAAGACTCTCAGATTAGTTTACTTTGCACTTGCAGACTCGCTAATAAGTTATGGACTACTTGTGTATGGTCGAACATTCATATCATATATAAAAGATATTAAGGACATACAAATAAGACTGATAAAGTTCCTAGTAAGTAAAAATGTTAAAGATAGTTGCAAGAAAGAGTATGATAAGTTATTTCCTATTTGTAAAATAATACCCATAGATAAAAAAGTAGATTATTTAGTTGGTTTGCAATATTATTATAGTGACGAGTTTAAAATTAATGTAAAGAACAAGTACAACACACGTAGGGTTAGAGAGAATAAACTAATATTACCAGAAATAAAAAACTATTATGGCAAAAGAACATCTGAATACTTAGTTCCTAATGTATTTAATAGAATAGATTTACTGAGAGAAGAAGGAAAAAAGTTTACGAAAGGATCTCTAAAGTTAAAATTAAAAAGATTTATGTTAGAGTATTAATAAGAAATAACATTGTTATGTCTTGTTTGTTTTTTATTGTTATTTTCATAAAGATTTGTTTGTTTTTTTTTTTTATTATTATTTTCATAAAGATTGTTTTATATTAGGTATATAAACTATGTCGAAGTAAGTAATAAGGGATATTATATGTGATGGGATATTTAAATGCTAAAGAAAAAACTATGTAAGAATTATTAAATTCACTGTTTTGTATTAAACTGTACAAAGAGCGCCTCTCGCCATCAAACGTTACAGTTTGGCGAGTTTAGTTTTTAAGGACACAATTTGTAATAAGTTCACTGAATAAATTATTTAAAAAAAAAAAAAAAAAGGTTACCCACCCACTGATAGGTTAGAAGTCGGTGCCATGCGGTGTCGGCTAAAAAAGCATAGGCTTTTTTAGGCATCCTTCCTAAATAATACCTAAGTAATAACAATATAATAATAATATTCCACAATATCACACAACTCTGTACCTACGCTGTCCAGTCCCAAACTAAGCAGAGCTTGTGTTATGTGTAGGTACCTACTAGACAACAGATATACATAGGTACTTAGAGGTATATTTCTAAATATTTCCATATTATTATAATTATAATTAGATAAAAACACCCAGACAGAAGAAATGATCGTGCTTATTATAAATCAAACTTTACCTCTTTAGGCTCTTTATAATAAATTGTTGTAGATTACCGCAAGTAGGAATATTGATAATATCAACGGGCAATCGCCAAGCCGAATGTTTTCGCACAAAATACATAGGTACAGAAGTCAATCTCATGTAGGTATGTACCTGCTTCACTGTTTATACCTACGTGCTCGAGCGCGCTTTGTATGTAGTTATACCATAGAACTAACTAGGTAACTTTTTATTTTGTGGCTATCGCGCTCCGTGAGAACTCGATTGGGGTTGTCAACTATACTTTTTATTACGTTTCTTACTTTATTTTTAGCAAGTAAACATACTTTTAGGTACCTAATTACCTACTTTTACGAAAACTAAACAAATACAACAAATATTGTAGGTACCTATTAGGTTTAGTAGGTACATAAAGTTATTGGTACTTAGAAAAAAAAAGTACCTGTTTACCTACAGAATTATATCCCTAGCCTTTCGTAGATTCTTCGGATATTGTGTTATCAACTTATCATAAAAAAATAAAAAAATCAGTAATTACAATGCCCTGTGACAATAATTACTAAAATTCATGCGAGCATCATAAAATCGTAGCAGCGCGTACGACTTTGTTCTTTATACTATGACTTTACCACGAGTAAACACACACAGCACAGATATATGCACCGTTCAGTGACGTTTTGCTGTGTTTGTGTGCGTGCGAACAATACGTCGTGCAAATAGATAGCGTCTAACTGCTCATCACTGGTACTATTTCTGTCGCACACGATGTCAGATGAGACAGCGCGCTTTTTGGCCACGCCCTTGATTGAGTTCGAGCCCGCGACTAGTTTAACCTTAAGGTAACCGATTGAACAATTTAAAAGTTATCTAGAGCAAAGTTTTATAAGGATTGAACCATTCATTAAAACGATTGTTATGGGTAAACTATAAAAGGTAGACATATGCTCTCGCGGACTTTTTTAAAAATAATGTTAAGATAAACAATTCATCTATAGAACATTTTTGTGTAACTTTAACTATATGCTCAGCGCACGCCACGGAAGGCCTCAGAAACGATACTTTTCCCCCGTTTTTAAAACATTTTTGGTTACTGCTCCACAACTATAGGACCTAGCGTGATATTATATAGCCTATCTTACTTTTGAATAATGCATCTTTCGAATGGTGAAAAAAATATTGCAATCGGTTCAGTAGTTTTTGAGTTTATTCATTACAAACATACAAAAATACAAATCTTTCCTCTTTATAATATTAGTATAGATAGTATAGATAGAAAACCAAAATATATGGAATTGACGTATATTTTGACACTTGTCAGTGTCATCCCCATACATTTTGATTTCTACTCTCTCTGTAGACAAGCGTTAAAATTTGGCTAAAGGCACTGGTCACTTATTAGGAAGGCGCTATGAGACGCGCGTGCCCAATTGCCCATAGATTGTCGGCGGCGCCAAAAAAATTAAGGTGTTTGCCTTGCCTTTATTATCAGCATTTATCCTCAGGTGTTATCCCGTCGCAAGGAGTGCTCGGAGCAGGAGTTGTTGTCGTGTATACTGACCCTGCGGGAACACCGACAGAGACAAGTGTCGGAGCCGCGGAGGAGACATCTTGCTAAACGGACGCTGCAGGAACTTGTCACTCTTATGGTGGAGAAGTAAGTCTTACTTAATACTGACCCATCTTGAAACATTTAAAGAAAAAATGATATATTGGCTCTTTTAACATGTCCCAAACTTCTTATTAAGGGGCCGTTCAAGTATTACGTAACCACTATGTGTAGAAGGGTCTCTTATTTTGGATGATGTGGGGGTAGGGGCGTCTAGATTATGATTACGGCAGCGGTAGTTATTTACTTTTTTACACGAATGGCAACCCCATATTGAAATTATAAATTACAAGCAAAGATCGACATGGAACTAGTCGTTATAGTATCTAAGAGACTATATAAAAAAAATATAATTAAACATGTTTAAGTAAGCAAAGGGGGAGGGGAAGGTCTTTGCTTACTTTTGCTGACAAGGGGGATGGGGGGTAAATAATCCTAAAAAATCTGCTTACTTAATATTTGAACGGCTCCGGTTATTATACACTAAAGGCTTTGTTGATAAATCGCTCTCCCCTGGTATGAATTGCATAAAAATCAGTTAACGTTTCTGCTGGAGGTTACAAAACTGAACCTTAGGGATTACATGGAAATATAGTATTTGATTATTCTAGTTTTTAAATTGAGAAAAGTGGCTGTTACAATGTACAGCGGCATTTAGTGTCGTAATGTGCACCTCTGCTTACCCCTTCGGAGATGTTAAATATATTAAATTGTCTGTTGCCCGACAGGCAGCGAAATTCAACCAAACAAATTCACACAACAAAACTTTTTACACAGAAAACCAACAGACTATGAATCCCACGGAAGAATATCAGGGTCGAAGCAGTGGCGCAGTGACCGCGGCGAGGTCGGGCCGCAGTCCCCGGGCCACAGCTTCTCGTTCCCCCGGCCCGGCCTGTGCGCGCTGCACTACCACGCCGCCACCGACTGCTACCGCGTGCTGCGCGACGGGGACGAGCTCAGCACCCTGCCCAGCTGGGCGGCGGGCGTCTACGACCACAAGAATATCTTCAGGAAAGTTGAACACGACTGGAAGAAAGTTTATCTGGCTAGAGAAGGTATGGTTTGGACATTAAAGTTAGTTTTTCAAAAACACAAGTTTGTATCAGTGTGTTATTGTGATTCGAGAGTAGAAATTGAATAAACATTTCTTTTAACTTAGTTGTCAAACTAGCCTGTCTATCTGTCTGGGTGTATTTATGTCTGATCTACAAAATGTTGTTCCATATTTACGACATACATATACATAAAATTTTTAAAAAAATATCATAATTTTGATTATAATGTGATAAACGAAACATACATAGAAAGAAAGAAAGAAAAATAATTTATTAGCCACCAGACATGGACCACCGAATATTACCACATTAAATAAACATTGAAAAACAAAAATAAAAAAAAGAAAACAATATAAGAACATAAAATAATATATATAAAAAACATATTGTATTATTGTTTATATTAAAAGTTTCGTGACGCATACTAAATTAATTATTATGTTTTCGGCTTACTCACGTAACTGTTTGAAGAGGAACTCGACTAGTTTCGAGCCATTTTTGTTTTCGAGGAGGGAAAATCATCCAATAACTTCTCCCGCCCAGGTGAGGTGAGAGGGAGTGTCAAACTCTTACTAACTAAAAACTACCCCGTTCCTACTCCTGCACTTGAGCCGGAGCCTCGACAACCCGTTAAGCCTTCCGCGGCTCCGTGTCGGCATCAGCCCAGTTGGCCCCATCCATGGTGGCCTGATGGTTCTTTGAGGCGCGCGCGGAACGCGACGCGCCTCTACGACGACGCTGAGACTCATATTCATGAGCCTGACACAGGCCTGCGGACGGCGAGCATGGGTGGCACGCCGTCCGACCTGAACCAGACCCGAGCGTACGGCGCCGAGCGGTCCACGCGCACTTCAAAGAACCCAGTAGGGCTGATGCCGATACGAAGCCGCGGAAGACGTAACGGGTTGCCGGGACTCCGGCTCGAAGGGCAGGAGTAGGTTGTTTATTTCTTTTTTTGCTGCAGAGGGCGAAGCAGTGGGGCACGTGTCGTGGCGCGTGTGCGCGGGCCCGGGGCTGCTCCTGTCGCGGCTGCGCGCGCGCGTGGCCACGCAGCTGTACTCCACCGGGACACTCACGTGGACGCTGCAGTACGACGACTTACCGCCTGTACCTGCCAACTTCGATAATGACGACATACGTAAGTATATTCCATTTGAGCCTCCGGTAACCTCACTCACACGACGAAGCACAACACAAGGGTTGTTTCACGTCGGTTTTCTGTGAGGCCGTGGTATCACAAAATTGATTACTGTAGTCAAGAGGCGCCAGTACTTTAATGAATGGTATATATGATAATTTCATTAAATACAATAGAGAAATTGACATATTATGTGATTGACAAAAGTTTTGATATGATTTGCTAGTCTTAAGGGCTCCAGTGTCACTCGAAACTAATCGATTACATCCGAAATAATCGCTACTATATCTCACAATTACTGAAAACTAGTATTGGGTGCTTGTTGCGCCTAGCTGATACTGATGTAATAAAATTAATAACCCATTTGGTGGCTTTTTGACTTCCCAATAACTTTATTTTCAGCCATTATTAATATTGGTTATTTTCAAATGCAATATACTTGTTTACAGAGCGCGGCGTCACACTGGACCGGACGTGTCAGTCGTTAATACTTCGCGTGGAACTAACTGGCGGGGAAGGCGACGTCGCCTGGCAACACGCACAACTCTGCAGACAACCACTAGATGGCGCCCCGCCTGCACTGCAAATTAGTGCTATAGTCATACCAAGGACTTAGATAAATGGAAAATGAAACCTTATTGCCTTAACAGAAGAGATACTTTTGTGTAAAGGACTTGACTTCCATAGTCTCACCACGAACCTAGTAATAGTACTTTTAAATGTAATGCTTTGCTAATATCAACTTTATATCTGAATAGATGGGGTACTTTTTGCTCTGTTATTATAATATCAATCTTATAGTCTGTAGGGTTTTGTCTGACACTCGACTGTATTACGGCGTACAATAACGGCTACATTATTAACCGATAACACACACGTATTAACCGATTGTAATCCAAAATTGGCGTAGTCTCTGCCTACCCCCATGGGAGACAGACGTGAAGTTATGTAAGGTCGGTAACGCACTTGTAACGCCTCTGGTGTTCCAGGTGTCCATGGGCGACGCCGATTGCTTACCATCAGGTGATCTGTCTGCTCGTTTACCATTTATGGCTTGTGCCATAAAAAATATAAGTAATCCAAAATCTCTGGATTTATCTAAGAATCTTTTTTAAAAAACTTTTAGTTTTTTGTGTAATGTGTATTAAAGAACAGTGGCCACCAGATCAGCTTACTCCAACGTGTCAAATTTATTTATAAGATTTTCAAGTTTATATCTAAGCGATAGAGTTGAAAATCTAATAAAGAAAATACACCACTATGCCTCGTCGTTGCAAGTTTTTATTGTGAAGTTATGTTCGTGCTTCCTTGATCTCACCTCGGCACGGTATTATGGTATCGGACTAACTATAACAGCGCCGCTTTCTAGCAATATACCATTATAATAAGAGATATTTTTCTCCTGAAACCTTTCATTTTTCTTCTATTGTATACTATACTAGCCACTACCGCGCGGTTTCATCCGCTCTGCTCAGCTCCTATTTATAGCCTATAGCCTTCCTCGATAAATAGATTATCCAACACAAAAATAATTATTCAAATCAGGTCCGATTCTTTCAAAGATTAGCACGATCAAAAAAACAAAATTTTCAGTTTTATGTAATAGTATATAAGATAATAATTGGGTACTTGCCACCTAGTCAAATTCAATTCTTTTTTCGAACTGTCATAAACGACAGGTTTCGACGAATTTTACGAGATTGTGTATTGTGACGTCACGTTTTTTTAGCGTCAAACAGCGTACTTATTTCTTAAAAATATGCTGGAAACATACTAAAATTAAGTTGGTTATAAAATCAAGTAACGAACGTCAAAGATTTTTTAATGTGTTATTGTATTCAACAGTCGATATAATATATTTTTGGTGAAGGCAAGTACCCAGTTACGATAACTGTGAATTAATTCTACTACCATTTGTTTTTATAATAACTATCGTGAGGCATACTACATTAACTAAAAATCGCGGGTTACACGAATATACTGAGAAAAGCTCAACTAGTTTCGAACCAAAGAGGGGTTCTTTCTTATGAGTAGCGTGCGCGGTCGGGTAGTAGAGACTTTTTCACAGTATTTGCACGTGAGTGTTCCGCGAGTTTTGTTAATCTACTTGCCTTAATTTACTCGCATTTGTTAATATAAAGACAATATCTTAAGCATATAGACCATGTATACCCACTGCTCATATAGTCATTCCATTTTATATAAATAGAAAATAATATATAATCATTTTACTATGTAATTGTAACGCTATGAATTATATTTTGAAGCCATGCAAGTGTTATAGTATTGAGTATTCTTCCACGTAAGTGTTATTTTTGTTTTTTTTTGTTGAATAAAATATATTATCTGTGTAACATCGTTTTATTAATTTTGACAATATCTTAAGAATGAACTTTAAAATAGTTTTCTCAGAGTACCAAGTTAGAAAATGACGGCCTCATCGTTCGCTTGATAAAATTAATGTAAAAGTGCTGCCTTGTTGCCTATTTGCAGAAATAAATTTACTTGTTTCACAAACACTAGTATTCCTAATAGATCCTAACCTGCGTGAAATACTTCTCATATCTCAAAATCTAGATGTCAAATTGAAGGGAAGGAATCACTCTTTTGAAGGGGGACAACCATGCAACTACTTCTCCCGCTTTGGGTTAGGCGAGAGGAAGACTATTACTGACTCGCCATTATTCTCACAGTAATGTAGCCGTGACGACGAGATCGCGAGATCTCTGAAACCGTGTCTACGTCAGTCTTCCTGTAACCAGTACATGGAACTTTATATCTGCGTGACTCACGCAGCAGACCTCGTCACCTGCACTGGAAACCAGGGAGCAAAGACGCTTAATGACACTAATCACATCCGCAAGTTAATCACATCACATGACTAAAAACCACCCCGTTCCTACTCTTGCACTTCGAGCCGGAGCCCCGGCAACCCGTTAGGCCTTCCACGGCTCCGTATCGCATCAGCCCTACTGGGCCCCATCTGTGGTGGTCGGATGGTTCTTTGAGACGGACGCCGATACGCACGGGTCTCCATCCGCAGACCCGCACTTACTGTGGCCGGAGAATGTCGCGCGATCTCCGACGCCCGGAGTGTCTCCCGCGACGGCTGGGCCGTGAGATGTCACACTCCTCCTAAATATAACATTTGCTAATTGATAGATAGGATGGAAATTACCTTGGGAAGTGAACCACTTTTAATCTTTTGCACGTCAATTCGATTTCAAAGGATACTTCATCCCTGACGCCAAGTAATATATATATATAAAAGAAAGTCGTGTTAGTTACACCACTTATAACTCAAGAACGGCAGAATAGATTTGGCTGAAAATTGGTAGGGAGGTAGCTTAGAGCCAGGAGACCGACATAGGATACTTTTTTAAACAAAATTTTTTTTTTACTTCTTTCCGAAAATCACGAACGGGGACGGGAAAAAATGGGATGGTACGCGTACGAAGTCGCGGGCAGAAGCTAGTTAGTTTATAAAAGACTAGCTAATTCCGTGCGGTTCCACTCGCTCTGCTCAGCTCCTATTGATCGTAGCGTGATGTTTTATAGCTTATAGCCTTCCTCGACAAATGAACTACCTACACAATCCAGAAAGAACTTTTCAAATAGACCCAGTAGTTCCTCAGATTAGCGCGATCAAACATACAAACAAATCATCAGCTTTATATGTGTAATAGTGTAAGATAAATAAAAGAAACAAGTACCAGAAACTTGTATGCAGGATACCTGTAACATCACGCCTTTTATCCCCGAAGAAGTAAGCAGAGGTGCACATTACGGCACTTAGTGCCACTGTACAATGTAACACCCTCTATGAGTTCCTTGTAAAAGGGGTGAGTCTATTGCCATATACCGGGCACATTTCCAGTCTCCGTACTACTAGTGAGAAATAATAAAAAAACAATAATACTTTGCCCGACCCGGGAATCGAACCCGAGACCCCTTGCCCAGCAGTCGCACTTGCGAACACTCGGCCGACGATGCAGTCATGCGCAGGATAGTTTGCAATAAAACAACAAAATATAATTGACTTACTTACTGACTTACTTTATTACAACAGTACTTAAATAAAAAAAAACAATTAACACATTGTAAAATAATGTCAGTCAATTAACAAAACCAGTCTTAATGTCACGTATTATAGGAATTTTATAATAATATCTTAACATATCTAACATCACAATAAAAGTATACAATCCTTTACAGCGCGAGCTGACTGAAAATAACCTACCTACTAAGTCAGTGTTGAGCAAAACAGAAATAGTTCATACCTACAATAACGATGCTAATGTCAAAGTAAAACGTACTGATAGTATTTAGATATTTTATCTGTAAAGAAAATGGCTTAAATTACTACTATAATTAAGAAATAAAGTCAAAAAATAAATTTTAGTAAGTCATATCTGCCAATATCCAGGGCCGTATTATAAAAAGATAAACTAGGCGAATGTCTAGGGCGCCAGGATATGGAGGGGCGCCGCGAGACGAGCGTGCCCAACTGCCCACAGTGGCGTTGGCACCAAAGTTAGGGGCGCCTATGAAGCGCCTAGGGCGCTATCTAGTTTTAATCCGCCTCTGGATATTGGACCATAAAGTTGCCGACTGCTGATAAACTGAAGCATTCGCTTGTAATGAGCATCCTTGCAATATTTCAGAAAAATTACGACAGCGCTTTAGCGAGCATTCTAGCGAGTGTTCAGAGGCCTTAGTTTGCAATTACAATAGTTGTAGAATTGTATGACATTGATTTCATAATAGTAGATTTGTTAAAATAAACATGATAGCAAACTAAGTTCTGGAGAGCAAACGCTCTCCTGATCGAGCGTTCTAACGATTGACATTAAAATTTCATCAAGGCTGACATTGACTAGAGCATTCGCTAGAATGTTCGTTGCAATGTGTGGCTCTATGCTCGGCTCGTTGTTCAGTTCGATAAATATAAAAATGGCGAATGCTCCATGTCCTGTTTCAAGTGAATGCTCACGTCCATTAGCATCTTATAATAATTTAATTTTTGGTCTATTGTGCATATTAGTTATATTGTGTTTTATTTCGTAGTCTTGTAATTTCACGCGTACCCCCCGAATTATTTGTGTAGGTAATAATGATTAAACTGCGGTATGGCAACAATAAAATAATGTTCACAACTTGTCCGCCGTTGCGCCGTTGTTAAGCTTTGAACAAATTCTCGAATTAAAAACAGACTATGATACAAATTTGATAATACAATATCACATTTGTGCCATCTAGCACATAAATAGGACCTTCATATTTTTACATCAACTTATTTTAATTTTTACTCGTTCACTGTACCTACGTTGTTTGTAGTTTTTGTCCAAACGTAAAGCACCGCTTGGCAGCAATGCAGGTTCACTCGGGCTGCTGGAGATGATTCCGCATGTCGGCGACGCGGACGATGCTGGACTGCACGCAATCCAGTACCGCCAGCATCAGCTGTGTCATCTTGTTCTTAGCCGCGAACTCGATCATTTCGAGGGTCTTCTCCGGGGTTATGTTTTGCACGAGCTTGTCTACGCACCGCTTCTCCAATTCTGGCATCATATAGCAAGACGAGAGCAGCAACAGCTCCTCCACGCCTGTGTCGGGTAGCGTGCGCAGGTATAAGTAGGTTTTAAGGTCCTGCAGTGTTACGCGCGTGGTGCCGGGCATTTCGGCGCGGCCCTCCTCGGTCTCACGCCACACGCCACCCAGCATACGTCGCAGCACAGGACTAGCAGCAGCCAGCACGGCGCGATGCATGCGGACTGACCCATCCGTCCCGCGCAGCTCAAAGTCTGTCAACTCCTCGTCGTCATGCAAGCTCGCGAACGAATTAACGCGCGGTACTACCTCCAACTGTACATTTACGTTAAACGTGTAATTCTGGCGTTTATTTTCGTGGATCAAGTGCCACGTGCCGTCGTCACTGGTGAAACGTTTGTCCTCTATTTCTAGTTCTGGGACGGTGAGCTTCAACACGTAGTTGAGTTCGTCATTCTGTCGTCGCTTGACAAATTGTACGAACACTAAGTTATTGTACATAGTCATGTTGCATGACTGTCCGTCTGTCAAGGCTGTAACCACCTTCACCTGGAAGCCCACCACGCCGCCAATCACTTGCTCGGGACTCATTTTGGTAACGTATGGGATATTGTAGTTATTGACAGTCATTTTCGCTGTCAGCGTGTTGCCATTTATTACCACATCGGAGGTGTCTATTCTGAAAAGATAAGAAAAACAAAAATTTAAGTATCTGGTTATCCAACTATTAGTGACAGGACGGATTCTGATGAGACCTTCGATTTTTTTTAGATCTATATTTTTGCCAGTTAACAAGTGTAGAACCTGAATTTGTTAACACTATCTTTACTATTGCTAGTGAATCCCTAGACAAACATATTGTACCATTCTCAGATAGATTCTGTAGATACCTTATGTGGAAGAATTGCAACGTTTGACCAGTTTTAAAGTAATTTGGGTATTTTATAAGAAAAGGAAATGTCTGCCGTCTAGAAATATTTAAATGGCACATAATTGCTTTTTAATTGCATCATCGTTCAGAAAAACACTGGTTATTATTCCATATTAACAAAAATTACCAACTCCCTCGTTAGCAAATAGGATGGTTGCATACGGTAAATGTCATGTCCTAGATCAACAAGAATATATACTAACTACAAGAAGATAGGTGCTGGTGGTGACCACCAGAGCGGTTCAGCGAGGGTAATACCTATAAACCATAAAATTTATATAGTTATTGCGCCCAAGTAAAATGGTGCTGTCCCGGTAATACAATCGTTTTACAAAGAAATAAAATGTTTTTTAAACAAATACCTAATAAGTGGTGAACCATTGCAAAAAGCAAACTTCGGAAGTGCGTACGGCATATAGGTAATTATCGAAGAGGTATTTCTCCTCGGGTGGTACGTGCGATGCGAATATCTAATGTCTAGTATATAATATGCGTACCCTAAGACGATTAATATTTTTTTTGAACTAAAAAAAATTACATCTTTATTTTTTATGTTTTTATCTTTAAGTATGCATCGAAAGTACTCCTTATGGCACATTATTTTGCCGCGAGATGAAAATGATATGTCACGATTTTTTTTAAGGGGGGAAAATCATCGAATGACTGCTCCCGCCTGGGTGAGGCGGAAGGGAGTGTCAGACTCTTACTGACTAAAAACCACCCCGTTCCTTCTCCTGCACGTCGAGCCGGAGCCCCGGTTACCCGTTAGGTTCTCCGCGACATATAAATCACGATGTATCAAACAATATGATAATAATAATATAGACTGCACGGTTGGTGCGGGGGCTAAGCAACCGGCTGCCGTACACATTACATTTTGTGTAATCCACAAATTGTTGTTTCTACAGTGAAAATTCTACAGTGGGGCAACGTTTAAAAAAAAGTAGATTGTCATTTCGGCGAATGGGTTTATTTCTAACAGCCTCGACAACCACTATAGGAGGCTGGCGTTAGGCGGATGGGTCAAAGGCTTGATACAGAAGGCAGTTCTCCTTGAAACGGTGCGCATCGTGAGAAGGTTTCTGTCTCTGGAGCCCTACAACCATCGGTAGCTTGGACCATGCTAGCGGGAGCTAGTGGTCGGCTCCTATTTTTATATTTTTAAGTATTATTTTTCGATATATTAAAGAAGGGCCAAATTAAAAGTACCCTTAACCGACGAGCATGCATGAAAAGATTGATGACTGTTGATGAAGCTAAAGAGGTATGTAGGAATCGTAGTAATTGGCGTTCCCTAGTCTCAGCCTACGCCCATGGGAGACAGGCGTGAAGTTATGTATGTATGTATGTATGTATGTATGTATGTATGTATTTTTCTGTTTTTAAGTAGTATTTTTATAAATTTAAATTAATTGGTTAATATGAAGGAATAACTAACTTAAGTTAACTTTTCAGGACATAAAGATGAGACTGTGCTATATGTTAGTATCGTAATCTCGCCAGAGAAACTCGTTCCTGAACTCCTCGCGTGTAACACGTGCAATATATGTATACATATCTACAACATATATCTTGTGGGTATTCGACCTTCAATTCATACAGTACCTATAGTTGCTTAGATAACTACTGAACTTAGATATGTACTCGTGTACCATATTTCGGCAGGGCTGAATTGACCAGTAGACAGAGTGGGCCTAGGAGCCCCGTGTTGACTAGGGCCCCATGTATATGTATAATATTTGTAATTATTATTATATTGACGTGACAACGTCTTATAAATTGGTTTGCCGGGTGACACTTCAAAAAACTGCGTTAAGCTCCGCTCACGTTATGCGCTCACAATGAGAGCGAGTGAGAGGCACGCGTCCCTTCCACTCGGGCATGGTACGCCCGCCTAAGAGCGAGAGAGACAGACATAAAAAGATTTTACCACTCAAAGTCGTTGTCACGTAAAACTTTCGCCCGTATACCGACTTTACAGGCAACCAATTATTTTTTTGTAATTTAATTGGATTAATGTAATTGGTGTCTACCGTGTTAATCAATAAACAAAATAAATAAGTAATTATATTCGTGACTTGGCATTACTGCCAAGGGGTTCAAACCGGTTTGAACGGACTAACTGACTGGTTGGCGATTATCGGCCAGGCCAGAAGCAAGATTAGAGTATAATCTGGAACAGATGTCCGCGCATGATCAGATTTACTGGAATCGAGCCAGTCTTTCATCATTAACAGCCGGAGGAGGAACCAAAAGTCTTTAAAGTTTCTTATTTCCTAAAAGTCCATATTTTAAGAGTATTTTGTTTTTTTTTCATTTTCTTTTTGTTTATATCAAAAACTTATTGTATTGTTTCGTATTGTATGTACTTTGATTATTTATATATTTTGTTATATTTTGATCACTTTAGTTCTTTTCTTTACGCTTTTAAATTTGTTATTAATATTATGTATTTATGTAAGTATCTGTGTTTTTATTTTTCATAATGTTTGTTTGTGTGCCATTTGCCTAATAAATGCTTTTTCTTACTTATTTCTTTCTTTTTTTCGTACAATTCATTTTATCACATTTGACTTTCAGTACTACTATTGTTCCATGTAATTAGACAAAAAAAACAAATATGTAGGATGAAAACTTATGATGTCATTCACACTTCAGTTGGGAATTGTCAATTGGAATCGGGATAAAAAGCAAATATTTAAGCAATGTACAATTTTTTAAATGGGCCCCGAGAAATTATTTAAAGACAGGGTTAATCCGGCTCTGTATTTTAAGCACGTTATTAATATTCTAAACAACAGTCTGATAGCTTATTGTTGTTGTTATAATATAAAAGTATCTACTACCTATTACTTAATTACGACCAAAATATCAACACGATTTATATTATTTTCAGTGAATTTGTGGATCACACAAAGAATTATATCGAGCGATCAAACCCGTTTTACGTTGACCTAGGTACCAGTTTTTAGACTCCGCCCCATGTTATTACTGAGAATTTTATCTCAAACTAGTTTGTGCCCGCGACTTCGTACGCGCAATCCCGTTTTCTCCCGTTCCCATAAGATTTTCAAGATTTTTTTCTATCATAAGAACCTTCTCCTGACAATAACAAACACAACAAAAAAAATCAGCCAAATCGGTCCAGCCATTCTCAAGTTATGGCGTGACAACGGGAAACGGGTTTCATTTTTATACATAACTAGCAAACCCGGCGAACTCCGTTTCGCCACCAGATGGCTTCGTTTTGTGTAACATTATTGAATTTTCTTTGCTATTGAAGAATGGGGTGAGCCTATTGCCATATACCGGGCACATTTCCAGACTCCGTGCTACTACTGAGATTTTTAAAAACCCAGTAAATCTTTGCTAGACTTGGGAATCGAACCCGAGACCCCTTGCCCGGCAGTCGCACTTGGGACCACTCGGCTAACCAGGCAGTCGTGTTAAGTTACTATAAAAAGTAAACAATAGGTATTAATACTTTAAAGGCCATACGCTTAAAAACTACTTGAGTACTCAAGCTACAATTTGGTCAGAAAAAAAAAACAAATAATTACAATGCCATCAAGTACCGAGTACCGGAAAAGTAATTCCCCTTTTCTCAAAATTGTATTTTTTTGGTACTTACTTGGTACAATGTGATACGGGAAAAATACTACATCTATCTATCTATATGTATATATATAAAAATGAAACCCGTTTCCCGTAGTCAAGCCATAACTTGAGAACGGCTAGACCGATTTGGCTGATCTTTTTTGTTGTGTTTGTTATTGTCAGGAGAAGGTTCTAACGGCAGAAAAAATCCTAAAAATCCTTAGGGAACGGGAGAAATAGGGGATTCCCATACGAAGTCGCGGGCAGAAGGTAGTAAGTACATAAATAAATAATAACATTTTGTACACTGCTAAGAATTGTTAGTTATTTTTTTAAAGTTTAGTAACACCGCGGGTTCTGGGGCCATATACGGTGACCAGCACCTCAACCTATCCTGTTCTTTCATATATCACCATTACATCTTCAACTTTATTATATTGATTGTCATACAGTCGAAAATCTAATGAAAAAATTGACAGATTGGAGTAGATTTATCTACTGGGCAGGGATTTGAGCTGTAGTTTTGGAAATGTTCGTCAATTATTGTGTTAAGCCCATTTTTTTTAAGGGGGGAAAATCATCGAATGACTGCTCCCGCCATGGTGAGGCGGGAGGGAGTGTCAGACTTTTACCGACTAAAAACCACCCCGTTCCTTCTCCTGCACATCGAGTCGGAACCACGGTAACCCGTTAGATTCTCCGCGACGTGTCAAGCCCATACATTGAGTTTTATAGTCACTATATTCGACTTGCGCTTTAGCCATTTGTTTACAACGACAATAAGTACTTCAAACTAAGTATATAATGTGTCGAATGTAATTTTCAACTATATTATAAAACAGTTAGGTTGATAATTTAACTCGTCGAGTACCGGTTTTATAGACACAATTAAAGAACCATAGGTCGCGGTCACCGGTGACCGCTTGGTGTTTGACAGTTTAATAACTTTGACAGGTTCATCGAAATCTAGACGTAAACTTAGTATAAGACCGAAAACTAGGAAGACTTGCCTCTCACAGCTCTCATTCTTATGGACTTAGCCATAAATAACACAATAAGTGAAAATTTAGTGGTTTTTTTAATCTTTATTTTATAAGTACAGTTTTTCCTAAGAGAAAAACGTCAGCCCCATTATAGAATACAAAATTCAGTGCATACTACAATGAAGTAGGTAGCTAAACCATTTACAGGTTTGGCTTGCCCTTAAACTTAACCCGTCGTGTGGAGGAACGCAGATCCTCGCGAGACCATGAACGTATTCCCGAGCCACAGTGTATTTTTTTGTATTGTGTCTTATATACCGGCAGTCAAGAGGCTAAACATAAAATAGTTAAATGCTACAATGTTCTAACCTCAGATGACAATGGTGACGATATAAAAACTATGATAAAAAACATGTATTACTATATTATTCAACCTACCCGTTCAAATAAAAAAGATTGTTACGAACAAATCTACCTGTTCAAAGAAAACGTTCTGTTGACTGCTGCGAACAAATAAGGAAAACACAATATTTTGAACTGTATTCTAGTGAATCCTTACTTATATTATAAATCGGAAAGTGAGTTTGTTTGTTTGTTTGTTCCGCTTTCACGCCGTACCTACTGAACCGATTGCTTTGAATTTTTGCAGACGTAAAGTTAGAAGTCTGGATTAAATAATAGGGCACTTTTTATCCCGGAAAAATTTGATATTACCGAGGGAAAACAAAACTATTGGTATAGATGGCGCTGTGTGTATTTGTATATGTCACATAGGCTACTTTTTATCCTTTTGTGACGCGAGCGAAGCCGCGGGTAAAAGCTAGTATACAATAAAATTAAGAGCAATATTCTTGTAACAAGTTTACTCATTGGTTAATTCCAAAACAATAATAAGAGAGATAATAAAATTAACATGAACATACGTGTCTGTTTAGTTCTGAGACACAATCACAAACACGGGCCAACGATGGCACCAATATTGTTAAACTAACAATGACAGTTATCATTAACCTTTCGTAACTTTTAAGAAACCCTATTAAACTGTCAAACACCAAGCGGTCACCGGTGACCGCGACCTATTGTTCTTTAATTGTGTCTATAAAACCGGTACTCGACGAGTTAAGCTAAGATAGATGACACCAACCTATAAGTGACAAGTAACAGTTCAAGGGTTACTTTACGAGCTGGTTTGGGGTACATACATAACATCACGCCTTTTATCCGGGGTAGGCAGAGGTGCACATTATGCCACTGTAGGTACAATGTAACACCCACTTTTTCACTATTTATGTTATGAGTCCCATGTAATAGGGGGTGAGCCTATTGCCATATACCGTACCGAGCACAATTCCAGACTCCGTGCTACTACTGAGAATTTATAAATAAACAGTAGTACTTTGCCCGACCCGGGAATCGAACCCGAGACCCCTTGTCCGGCAGTCGCACTTGCTACCACTCGGCCAACGAGGCAGTCGTGGTTTAGGGTGTTTAGTGGAAACGACTATTAAGATCTGTTTCATGATGTCTGATTAACTTTATGTTACCTTAACCAACACAATAATAAATTCAGACCAATTTCCTATAAAAAATACGTAGAATTACCCGACATTTTGATAAATAATATCTTATTCACATATTGCAAGTCTTAGTCTTTCAGGAAATTTAATATTAGACGTATTTTCTGTCTACCTGTATGACGTTTTATTTCTCATGTAGGTAGGTAAAGAAGGTTACAAAAATTGAGTATAAATATTACACAAAGCCACTGTATAATATGTATATTTTATAGTAATATACAGTGATATACAGAAGAACGTTATCTAAAAGAACAAACATATTTTAATTACAATCAGATATATCAAAAATTTGCCAACCCGCATTGAACAAGCGTTGTGATTAATGCTCAAACCTTCTCTGTGTGAGAAGAGGCCTTTGGTCAGCAGTGGCCTTATAGGCTATTAACCCCTCGAGCGTCCTTATGAGCACCCGGTGGATCATAAGAAAAAATGCTCCATGCTGCTTTCTCTTTTATAAAATCTATTATTAATGTTTTGTTTTTATTTTGACTGTATTTTTTATTTCTATTGTAATGATCCTTGTTTTCGTGTGCCAATGACCAAATAAATGCATTTTCTTTCTTTATTTCTTTCTTTCTCCAAATGTCACGTGTGCGACCGTTGGATCATAAGGAACGCGGACGCTCGACGGGTTAATGATGATCGAAATACGAGTAAAATAATTCTTACCTATTATATAACCGGCTGTTAATGAAGTCATTGATTTTATACATCAAAGATGACGCCATTGTTATATTGGTTGTAGCGTCTTAAAAATAAGCGATCTAAGTTGGTGGAGAGGTTGGATCCAACTTAAGAACGTCAGCACATCACGATAGTGTCCGAGTTATATTATAGAAGGTAGATGAATAAAAGTCAGTAGTGTTCAATCTGTCAAACTGCGAACATGGGCAAGCTAATACTTATATTGGGTACGTACTGTTGAATAATACACGGTAATATTAAGAAGTTAATTTAAATTCATACCCTATTTTTTTATAGTTGTTTTTTGTTCAAATTACCCGAAGTGTTTTTTTTTGCGGTTACCCGATTTTAAGTTTTATTTTATTTTTTTATTGACGGTGGTTGTAAATCGTATTTTAATATAGCAATTCTAATTTATTCATATCGAATCTTAAACATTAATATCTAAAAAACTTAATTGAATCGGTGAAGTATTATTAATAGATCTCGTCTATATTACAATTATTTCTTCGGTTTATTTTTTGCTTTAATTAATTTTATGAACAACGTTTTATGTCCCCATCTAGGTACACATTTAATTTGTACTAGTGTAGGTATTGGCTGTATTCATTTATTTTCAAACCAATCGGTAATGGTACTGAAATTTAGAATAATTAAATAGATTTAATAATATGTTTGTAATTCTAAAAAACGGGACTTATTTGAATATGCAATAGAAAAATTACATAATGATAAAACTAGATATTGAGAGCTATTTTCATCCTATACCCTATTGTACCTATTAGGTTTTAAAATGGATATTATGTATTTCGTTATATTTTAATAATAACAGTAAATATTTAGAACAATCAATACTAATTTGACGAAATAGAATTTATATTATAAAACATAAAATGTCAGGGGTAGACAAAGAAGTTAAAAGAACGATAAAAAATATGACTAAAATTAAAGTTTAAAAACGTTACATATGACACATACTCTCCTGTAGCGAATTCAGCATTGTCGGGCACCATTTTTGAGTATAATTTCAACTAAAAATAAAAAAAACTTGAACTGAAGTGAACCGTCACACTCGCGAATAATGCACAAACTAAGATTTTCGACTGACCGACATAAATTTTACATCAAAAATGTCACATAAAAAGATTCGTTTTTACACTTTCTTAGATTCTATGTACCTTGAAGCTTTAAATCGGGATGCCGTGAAATTGTGGCGTTTAGGTAATAACTTCATTCTTGATGAAAATCGCCGATTATCGCCATGAGCAAACATTTTCTTTTTTTTGACGTAGCGCTACGTAGGTAAAGAACTATTTCTGCACTGCGAACTAAGTAACCTCCCGTAGATTATATACCGAGGTACCTAACGTTAAATGACGATTATAAATACTCACCGGAACATAGCTTTGAAATCAGGAAAATTAAGTAAACTAAGTGGATCGTTTACGTCCATTTTTGTTATAATTACACAAATTATTATCTTAATTCTAATTACACAATAGCCTTAGAGCTGCTGAGTTAGAAAATAATGACAGAACATTACCTATATAAAATTAAAACAACTTCTACCCACATAATCAAATAGGTCGAAAAATCGTTTGTAACATAATAACATAATACCTCCGTTTAACTTTACGCCTTGGAATACTTCCAGTAGTAGACAGATAGGAACATAATTTTAAGTATAGTAGAGCCATGCTTCGACAAGAATGGGCCGGCTCGACCGAAGCGATACCACGACCTCTCAGAAAAACCGACGTGAAACAACACTTGCGTTGTGTTTCGTCGTGTGAGTGAGGTTATTGGAGGCATAATTACCCCCTCCCCAGTCTCCCCAGTCCCCGAATCCCACACAATCCTCTGGTCGAGCACTTGTAACACCTCTGGTGTTTCAGGTGTCCATGGGCGGCGTAGATTGCTTACCATCAGATGATCCGTCTGTTCGTTTACCGGCTTATCCCAAAAAAAATGTAGCACGTGTTTTGACATATTCAGTCAATTTTGCAACTCGCATGTACCTATCATGCAGTGAGCCTATTGCAAATCTTTAGCCATGATTGCGACACAGCACCTTATCATAAACCAAAGACCCAAAAAAAATGCTCAGACCGGAATATTATAAACTAATTTATGTAAAATAATAAACAGTTAACGTATCGATAAATGAATACATACTCAGAATTAGTTCTGCGTCCCACTCCCATCAGTAACCTCTGATCCCGGTAGTCTGTCAACGAAATAATTGGCGGTTGCACCTCATAATTAAAATTTCTATAAACATCCATTATTATTGTTATAGAAACTTGTATTTTAAGTGTAAGAACATAAACGACAATGTTTAGCAAGGAATATTATCAGACTAGTGTTTGCGAGGCCCGATAACTACCTATTGCTTTTGCAGACTGATATAGTTATCTCAATGTACATTCGAGCGATACCCGACACCTATGTTACTAGGTCATTACTGCAGATAATAAATATATTAATTTAACCTCTTGTCTGTCTATACAAGACACAATAGAAAACGCATTGTGTCTCGAGTAGATATACGCTCCGATATACCATACCAGATATGTTATTTCGCACCTACATAACTAAATACATAATTCGGAACTTCTCAAAAGGTACAGGTTCTACAACTCCCTCTTCCTCATATGGGAGACAGGATACCAAAGTTTTTCTTTTAATCTTAGGTACATACTAACATTTTGTCACAAACTGATTATTCACGTTTAAAAAACCGACTTCAACGCCCTCTATTTTTTTTGAAGTCGGTTAATTAAACTGTCAAACACCGAGCGATCACCAGTGACCGCAACCTATTGTTCTTTAATTGTGTCTATAATGACGGTACTCGACGAGTAAATAGGTGTACTAAATCCTTCTCCTAAGTGTAACAAACACTTTTCTGAAAACCGCATCAAAATCTGTATAGCCAATAGGGAGATAATTGCGCACATACAAACAAACATACATACAAACGCACAGGAAATAATGAGAACCTCCTTTTTTGAAGTCTGTTAATATCTGACTGATTAAGTGATTAATGATTAAACGTCATTGACCGATTAGTATCATAATGATTAATTTTTAAAAATCATATTGTGTCATAAATTGTTGCCAGTATTAAATTTAAATTATTCAACGGTTTGTTTCATTTTTTTGTACACTTAGATGTTATGTATGTACAAAAAAATTTATCCCTGAACGGCCTACCTGTACCTGTGTACAGGTAGGCCGTTCAGGGATAAATACTTACTACATAAGTATTGTAGGTACAGACCTACAATACTTATGTAGTAAATCATAGGTAAATTTGTTAAAAAATGTATTGTAATTTTGCACACTTGCTCAGAGTTCATGATACATACACATACACATACTAATTAGTCGTTTCACCTGCGCCTGGGCTAGCGTTGGGTTCTATTATCTATGTCATACCTATGTAGTATGTAGCTAGCGCGAGAACTCAACTGGAGTCCCTCTTAGCCATTTCTTCAAGTACAAAATTATCAACATTTTTCGACTATATTATAAAACTATAAGTTCATAAAAGAAAATCCATTAAAATAACAAATACCTAGATATAGCTTGACGTCTTCTATAACTATGTGATCCCTTACTTTAAGTATTACTTACAATATTGATGTAAATTAGTAAGGTATAAATAGGTAGGTACCTACAAAACAAAAAGGATTTTGGTCAGCAAACATCATCAGCAAGTTTTTGTCCACTTTGACATTTGAACGGTGCATAAAAAATATATTTATTTTCCTCTTTTTACAATAAAACACATCTCAGCATACCTGGCACTTGATTATAAGTCATTAGGTATAAGTGTAGGAGAGCCATACTTCGGCACGAATGGGCCGGCTCGACCGGAGTGATACCACGGCCTCACAGAAAACCGACGTGAAACGCTTGCGTTGTGTTTTGTCGTGTGAGTGAGGTTACCGCAGGCCCAATTACCCACCTCCCTACTCTCCCGAATCCTCCACAATCCTCAAATTCCCAATTCCCAAAAGGCCGGTAACGCACTTGTACCGCCTTGGTGTTTCGGGTGTCCATGGACGGCGCCGATTGCTTACCATCAGGTGATCCGTGTGCTAGTTTACCGGATTATGCTTTAAAAAAATTGTCTGATAGCTCCAATCAAATTTAAGTGTGACCTCCCTCGTCCTGATATAATAGGTTATAATAATTACGATAGAAGTTTTGCATACATATAACTTCATGTTTTTATTTTATGTTGTTGTTAATTTAATATTTTTATATTGTTGCCATGTCCTATGCCATTTCAAGGTCACAATAGCCGGTTGTCGCAATTATTCGATCATAATTTATCTCATAGTTATTAGTTTGTAGGAGGATGGGTAAACATTATTATTTTTATGTTTGCGTTAAAAATGGTGGTATGAGTAGACTGGTAAAGTCCACAATACTTACTGCTTAGTGATATATTAGATTACAATCCATTGCACACGACTTTTTACACGCAAAAAGGAAAACAATTTTCCGTTTTTCCGGTTTTCCGCTTCTGTGAACATCCTCTCTTTGATAATATTCTCTTACGTCCAGATTCCATAACCTATCTATCGGTAGATTTGCTTACTAGAGATTGAATTTTGACACGTTTTGTGCTTATGCAAAAATTCTTTTTCTAGTAAGCAAATCTACAGATAGGGTATTGAAACTAGCTGTAAGTCATCTTGGTGCTTTATTATCTCTTCAAGAAAATTTCTATATAAGTTTACCATTATTGCCATTAACCATTATAATTAGTAGAAAAATAAATTCAACATAAAGATATTTTAAGAGAGCCGTCGGCCGGGCCAACGACAAGACTGCAAAGCAATTTGGCAAAAACAAACAACAAAACATTATAAAAAATCACGTGTTTGGAAACCTAAACATAGATAGCACTATACATTATCTACCTAATTAGCATACCTACTTATACATACATATCACAGTATAGGTGTTCATGCAGGTCAAATTGATAAACTTAATTTATGAAGTTGGTTAAAACACGTAAAACGCTTGCTTTGTCGATCACCGGTTTCGGCGCTTTTGCCATATTATTAGAAGCAAGTATAATAGCTCACACATAGGACCCACTTAAATGGTGCTTGACGACTGGGCTCCACCCAGTTGTACAGTCTCTTTTTTGTGCCTTGAGGCTTAATTCATTCTGTCTCCTGCAGTAATTCACCGAGGGAAATGGAAACTATCGGTTTTTTTCTTTTCTTATAATCTACTAAAATAACTTTATATTATTGGTCTGCATCTTCTGATTCACTTCGTTGCGGGAACCAAGACAGTTATTCATGTCCCTGGGACGCGCTGGACTTCACTGTTCCGGTGTTTTCATGGTTGTATCGACTGTAGATCCTGGCTTACAGGAGTTGCAGCTGTTTCGGGAGGTTGTGGCGGGCTTGTCCCATTAAAAAATATTTTTAAATGTCAAACCTTCAAGAAAAGAGCGTATTCCTTTTTAAATGGCCCGCAATGCACCTGTGACTCCTCTGGTGTTGCGGGTGTCCATGGGCAGCGCTGATCGCTCACTATCAGGTGATATATACGCTCGTTTACCTCCTAATCTATAAAAAAAATATCTCATATCCAAATAAACACGTGAAACTTCCTCACGTATCTTAATCAGTTTTGCAAACATCTAATTGGACGATATCCAATAAATAAATCCATGTTCAGTTCAGTAACTTGATCCAAGTGGAATTTTTTTTCTTGCTTCGGTCCTGGATTGGTAATAATAGCCTATATAGAAATATTATTCCTGGAAAATTAAACTTTCCAATAATACCGGACTTCTCAAATAATTCCGGTAATCTTAAATCCTAGAAACAAACAAAACAATAATTGTTGTTTATGATGTTCGTGTAATACGATTTAGCAGATATGCCTAGTAACATACTTATTCACACCTTCTTTTGTTCAGTAATTTTGTAAAAAACCGCGGGGAAACCTGCCATACAATAACTAAAATTAAATGCAAACAACAGCTCACGTGCTGGTGATGTCATTGTTCTTGTAAAACTATTAACAGTGGGAGTTCCCAATCACATAATATTTGTTATTGACCATTGGCGATGCAAAGATTATCCGCGTGCCTCTAGCGGCGAAATTTAGAAGTTGTCTTTTTTTTAATGGGGGAAATCATCGAATGCCTGCTCCCGCCTGGGTGAGTCTGGAGGGAGTGTCAGACTCTTACTGACTAAAAACCACCCCGTTCCTTCTCCTGCACGTCTAGCCGGAGCCCCGGTAACCCGTCAGGTTCTCCGCGACAATTTAGAAGTTCGCCGCTAGAGGCACGCGGATAATCTTTGATTATCCGCGTGCCTCTAGCGGCGAAATTTAGAAGTTGTCTTTTTTTTAATGGGGGAAATCATCGAATGCCTGCTCCCGCCTGGGTGAGTCTGGAGGGAGTGTCAGACTCTTACTGACTAAAAACCACCCCGTTCCTTCTCCTGCACGTCTAGCCGGAGCCCCGGTAACCCGTCAGGTTCTCCGCGACAATTTAGAAGTTGTCTAAGAACGACACTTTGCTTTCGAGTTGAGATTAATAAGTTTAAATGGATCACGATTACATAAAGAAACCTGCTTTTAACAAAAGCAGAAACACAAAATATTGCTGTGTTCCTCAATGTAATACTTAAGGAGATAAGTTTTCATTAATTTCCAAAAGACAAATTTATGAATCAAATAAATTTTATCTCTGTATGGAAAGAAAAAACATCAGCTGTAAAGCAATTAACCCTCTCAGATTTACTCAGCAGTGGGTGATATGTATTTATTTACTTTTACGGGTATTCATTCAATTGAACCTTTAGAGATATTGATGACTTGTGTTAAGTTGGTAAATTGGCCTTAAATGCTCCAACAAACAAGAAAATGTTATCTGTGAGAGATAAATATTTTGAAAATGGTAAAAATTAAACAAAATACATCATTTAGAGCATTGGTGTTTTGTTTGGTATAAATAGGCAGACATTTTCTAATAATTTTAATAATATGTGCCCCATGCTAAGTAGAGTACTCAAAGTTGTTATTCCTTGGCCTGATACCGAAATGATACTTACGTAGTAACTTACCTAAATCATTCCAAAAATATAAATATACAAGAACAATATGAGACTGTGCTGAGACTGTTCTTCTTCTGTTTAAAATGTAGAATATTGACGTACACTCATACAATACAGCGAAGTTTAATATTGAAATAACTCCTTCTGGCCTAATAACTGAAATAAGTACATCTTGTGGTGGTCGAGCATCAGATAAACATATTGTAAAGGAATCAGGAATCCTTACTAATATTATAAATCGGGAAAGTGAGTTTGTTTGTTCCACTTTAACGCCGTAACTACTAAACTGCTTTGAAGACGTAAACTTAGAAGTCCGGATTATATAATAGGGTACTTTTTATCCCGGAAAA